ATCCTGTAAACGTAAACAGAATATTTTATATAGATTTTTTTTAATGAAAACTTAAAATCCTGCATTATTTTCCGGACAACCCAATATTTCAATAATAATAATCTAAAGGGACAACTACAAACTAAAATTTAAAGCAAAGAAAAATCCTAACAGGCCAAGATAATTTTTTTTTTGTTATTGCAAGAGTTGCAAATTAAAAAACAACCTAAACTAGTTTCCAGGGAATAATAAAAAGAAAATAAGAAAAGAATATTTCAATAAAATTGCATTTATTATAAAATAGTAAATTTATTTCTTAGAAGTTAAATATAATAATAAAGAAATAAATTTACACACCAATAATAATAAAACCAATAAAATTACCCTCTCAAGATTATATTTATAAATGTGCGTTGAAGAACAACATTTCATCCGAAATGTCAGTACAACGCTTGTTTTTTGCATCTCCTCATAAGAAAAATGAACCCAAGGGTATGCATAAGGAGAAAAATTAATAAAAGACAGCCTAGATCGAATAACAGATTGTTCGGATGGTAGCCGTATGAATAGAGAACGTTGTCGCCACTGTTGATGCAAGGGATGTCCTTGTTTTCGGAACACGCTTGAAAAAAAAAAATGATGAAAAAAATCTCATTTGTTTTAATGGAGAATACAATCAAAAACACTTACGTATCTCCTTCAGGTCTTTCCACTGCAAAATGGATATAGCCTCGAGTCCATAGTAGAATCTTGACACATACTTGACCCAAGCAAAATAAACTGGCACAGTGCTAAAATTAATTTAGCTAGATTATTAAAATACTCTAATAAGAAAAACGCAACAAAGGAATAAATTGTAGAAAATGTAAACCTAAAAAATCAATAAGATACTTTTTCTTTTTTAATGTTTTTAAGTTGAAAATGGAAATTCTTTCACCTCAACTGAAGGAAAATTCCAGAAAATGTGTAAGACACTAAGTCCAATGGTATTGCGAGCATACTGGCCGATGGTAGATTTTCAAAAGCTGCAGAAAGGCAACAACCTAAAGGGAAAGGATATAAATTTTTTTTTAACTTTTATTATTACAAATTACGAATTACCATAGGCTGAAGACACTATAGCACTTATAACGACAGGGAGGCAGAACCAAAAGAAGCCATGATTCATTTCAACACCTGTCACTAAATAAATGACAGCAGAAAACAAAATCGCTTCTATCGCAACTTTGGGTAACTTAAATTATCAAGACATTCATTTACTCTCCTTTAAAATTTATACATTTGTAAATTGCCTACCAGAGTTAGCACTTTGGAGAAATAATATGGTGCGGGCCTGTAAACTCCATTACTTATTTCACGCAGTAGCACAGGTATTTCTTGGGGAAACGTGTAAAGTACAGCGTACGCCTGAGTGTACATCGTTTCTGTTATAATGGTGTAATTGAGGCCTTGGATGCTCTGTATGCCTTCCTGGTTCACTTTGGTCCCAATGTATGGAATCGCAATTATTAAAGCAGTGATCTGTGTTGATACAAGCAATGTGAGCATAAACAATTTAAAGACTAACTAAATATAAAATTTTCTGTATTTCCCACTATGTATATACAAGCTTTGAAAAAAATCATTTGAGAGCTTCTGATCAGGTCCAGTGCAGATCGCCATATGAGCCATTTGAGTTGTGTTTTCTGTGATGGAGGCTGACTAAAAGATGCAAAGTGAAAGTTGAACTGTCAATAATACGATGAGCTCAAATATTTAAACTTACACGGAATAAAATTTTAAAAACTTTTCATCCATCTACAAAAAAAAAATTATTTTGTTTGCATCAAAATTAAAACAACAGAAAACAAACAAGGAATGGAGGAAATTGAATGATTGGACAAATAGGATGAGAATTTGCAACACTTCCTTGAGTCTTAAACCAAATTCTTTTCAGTTACATCCTGAAGAAAAAAGAAGAAAGAGAATTTTTTAGGAATTGGAAAAATTAAACTGTCTACTCATTTATTGCTATTATTTTTCGTAATTTGTGTATAATAATTCAATAATTGATCATAACTGTTTACACCAAAAATAATGCATTATTATACCACAGCCATGATGTCATATTGTAAAAGTTTCATTTTGAATGTTTATTAAAGTGTATCTTAAAAGTATTTTTTAGACGTGCTAATTCTTTTCTAAGGACTTAATTTTTGTGGAAGAAAATGTGCTGAATGAAAGTCTGAATCATGTGAATAACAAGTTAAAATATAAAATTTACCCCATACGCTAACTGGCATTTATCCATTGTCATTTTCACGCTTTCTATTTCCTTCTGAAGTGCTAAACTGTTTGGTGATTTCGTGAATTTTTCCGTCAGCTTGTCAGGGATTGCCGATAACTGGTTGACAACAAATTCAGCGGTGTTATAAGACAATGGGCAGACCAATCCCAACCTTTGGGGCACAAAAAAAAATGTTTAAATGGTTTATTAATTTAACTAACATTTAATTTTACTCAGAAAAGAATTTTTTGGCCGCTGAAACGTCGCCAAAATAAGCCAGCTTGCCGCCAGAGACAAGAAGCGATACAGTGTCAAACATCTCAAAGATACCAGAAGCAGGCTGGTGAACAGAACAGATAATGATTTTGTTGTCGCTAGCAAGTTGGCGCAGCAGGGCGATCACTGTCAATGCTGTATAGCTGTCTAGACCGGAAGTCGGCTCATCACATATGAGCACCGGTGGGTCAGTCAAGAGCTATAAGCAAATGTCTAAATTTTATAGAAATAATTAATCCTAAGTACGATATACCTCCACAGCCAGACTGACTCTCTTGGTTTCTCCTCCAGACAACTTAGAAAGAGTGGTAGAACTACACTTGCTAAGTCCTAAATTTTGTGTTATCGAATTTATTATTTTGCTTTGCTGGTTTTTGGTTACCCTTCTGTCCATTTTAAGGGTTGCCTAAAAATATTAATAAATTAGCAGAATAAACAAAAAAATTTCTAAATTGCATTTCAGTGAAATATTTTAAAAAAATGACTCAACCTTACAATAAAATATCAATAGAGTTTACCATAAAATTCATATGTTCTCTCACTGTCAACGAATCAATTGTGAGATTATGCTGGGGAACAAAACCACATATTTTCTGCATCAACTTTTTATCGACGGTATATCCATTGATATGAATTTCACCATGCAATATCCCTTTAAAACAAAAAGTCATTTTATATCGTTTCTTAATTATTTAGTATTTACCTGTGTTGCGTTGACCAATGGCTGCAAGCAGGGTCGTCTTCCCTGCACCGCTAATTTAAAAAAAATTTATGTTTCGATGTATTCAAAAATTTGAAAACCTGACTTTACCTTGGACCAATTATTGCACAGAGGTTTCCCGATCGTACAACTCCGCTTACTGCAAATTTCAAAAATTCGATTGACTTTGTAATGAGTGTAGACAAGACAATTTTACCATTATGAAGAACTTTCAACCTTTGCAGTCTCGTCCTTCGGAACAAACTCTTCTTTTTGATGTTTACATAAACATTGATGTTCTGCCAACATAAGGCCAATGAGTCATCCATTATTCTGTTAAAAATAAATAAACAATTGTAATTAAATTTATTTGATAAATTCAAATTTTACAATATCTGTAGAATTTTTTCCCTACTCAGTCATAAAACTAACATACATCCAAACAGTTAAAAATAAAATAAATATATATATAATTATTATTAAAAGGGATGATAATTGTATGAGTAATAAGAAAAAGTTATAAGTTAATTTAAAAAATGTTAAATTTTATCATGGTCCATATATAGAAATTAGAAAGGCTGAAATATAAGAAAATTTTATAAAACATTCTAATGAAAATCAGCATTTTTCATAATGAACCTTTTTTTAAACTAAATCTTTATTTGATGTTATAATTTCAAAATTTAATATTTTTCTAATTCTAAAATAAATCTTAATTTAATTATTATTTTTTCCAAATGAAAACTTACGAAGGAGCCTGCTTAGGATGGTGTCCAGTCCCAACTTTAGGGCTGAATGTGGTCAGTGTTATGTAATAACTTCCCTGACTTATCCTATTTCCATTGGGCAGGTATAAGTACACCTTTCCATCCCAGCAAAATAATATTTGTTATGTAATGTATTGGGAACTATAGTGGAAACAAGGACTTCCACATTTTTTTTCATTTTTTTTTTTTTTAATTTAATAAAGCTTCCTACATAAACACGGATAGGATATAATCACAGACTCGAACCGATTGACTGATTTAAAAGTCTAAAACCTAGCAATCCTGTAACTAGAATTAGAAAACATTACATCAAATGCATTTGTATTTGTATAAAGAAATGAAAAAGTAAAAATTACCCTTGTAAAATGCAAAATGTTCACATCTCATTCAGTAAATATTCTATTTCTAAGATTTAACATTACAAAATCCATTTGAAATTGTCTTCCTACAAAATCAGTAAATACAATAAAAATCTAAACTTTAAAAAGTGATGCACATACAAATGACAAAAAAAAGACAAATATTTCGCACATCCAATAGGAGTTTTAGCAAATTCTATATAGCATTCAAATTTTTATTAACCTTGATCAATGATCACATTGTACAAAATCAAAATAATAAATAAATAACTGATTAATAAATAATAAAATAATAAATGACCGACCGAGTGCAAGGAATGTTTCAATTGATATCAATACCACTTCTGGGTTGTCACTCTGGGTAAATTAGAATTGTTTTTTCTTTTGTCAAAATATTGTGGTATATTTTTATCCATGATAATACGAACAGGGAGGAAAATTGTTAATTATGATTTCTACCATGTTGAACCCTTCTATCCTTTGTCAGCAAAATAAATTGATACATTTTTAAGATTTCCAGTTCTTTAGAAAGGTTCTCAGGTATTCTGCTCAGGTAAAGAGATCTTTATTATTCGAGAATGGTTTTCCTAGGTTCCATTGCCTTCTCCTTGCTATTGCTAGAATTTGCAAAGGATGTGTCCTGTTCCTGGTTATGTCCTGGAGTAGTCTTTTTTCTTGCCTCTTACCTGACATATAAGCTAAGTATTTGTTGTGTTCTTTAGTTATCCAAAATTCAGTTCTTTAAAAAGTCTATTATTTATGTTCCAAAGGTGATTTGGACTTCTGTAGTTCCAATGCTCCCTTTTTGCCTCTGCTGCCTTATTGCCAGAAAATCCATCGTGACCTATAACCCACTTTAGCATTAGGCTGTTTTTAGATCACATATAATGAAAATATTGACATAAATATAGCAATTATAATTGTTATTAATAATAATTGGAATTAAACAGGTAGAGAGGAACTGCTACTTCTGGCCAGTCTCTGTGATTAATGTATGCAACTTTTAACAACTCCCTATTTGATCAAACAATTACAATCTTCTTGCAATTAACATAAATACATAATATTTCTTCTATAGTCTCCCTTTCTTTAACTTAATGGTAGAGCACTATCTAGGGTTCCCCTTTGCTTATTTCCCTATGCCTAGTATCATCAAAATGGATTGCCTTTTCCAGGCTATTGCTAAGTTTTCCCAGGTTTTTGAGATGATAATTAAATGTGCAATGGCGAATATAAAGGCTATTTTCTTAATTCTTGCCTAAGATAAAAGTAGATTTTTGTTTTCCTGGTCAATAAGTTGAGAAACTTCCTTGCCTCTCCCTCCTTATGACCCTAACTGCGGGCTTTAAACCCCGTGTGCGATTTTGAATAATTTTATCAACCCTAATCAGTGGTTTGTAAGTGACTGCACACGAAGTTTAGCAAAAATAATATTAAGGTATTTTGTCTTTGGGAATGAGCATATTGCCTCTCCCTGCTTATGACCCTAACCATCGAATTTACAACCACTGTGCGATTTTGAAGTTTAATACTTCACAATGACTAATTTGACGTCATTTTTTCCATGCTTTGCTAATAATTAGTATGGTATCGATATTTTTGTTTAATCCGGCAGGTACTTCAGTACGTTGTTGTTGTTATTGTTGTTGTCGGTATAAGGGGGCAAACCACTTTAAGAAAATCTAAGTATCTACAAGTTTAAAATACTAGGTAAGAGTTTAAATTGAAAAATTACGAGTTATGTCAATTCTATACTGATCTCAGTTGACTGACGGTGTAATAATTGATAATCGTCTTTATGTCAAAAACCCAGTCAGTTAAGACATAAAAGCTACTAAAATATCTGGCATTTTGATGAGTTTGCTACCTATTCTGCTTAAGCTTTAAATCATGAAGTGGACAGAATTTTTCCTTATTCTATTTGTGTACTTTATTTAAGACATTTTCTGATTACCTACATTCGCATGTGTCCAGAATTGAACCTATGACTTCTCGCAGCCCACCAGAATTCCAGCTTTCGTTTATTTATTTACAGTAAATTACTGACAGGCTGTAAGAATCACCGCCTTGGGTTTTGGTAGTCCGGGGTCAGACCTCGGTCTTATCCGTCCAAGTTTGGGCTCCAGGGCTATCAACAGCTAGGTCATTTCAGCCCTCAACGACATTCACTTTCTAGATCCAAACCCACTCGTACATTTTCAATACATATTTTCCTATTTATGTACCATTATATAACTGGTCTAATTGAGGATCGATGGGTTCACCATTAGACCTCTCACTGCCCATTCACTCTCAATAATCATGCAAGGGAATTCAAAACGAGTACTGCACATAACAAAAGTAAGTGTTTCCTCCAAAAATTAGTACACAGCTTTGTTCAAGCACAATTCTTATATTGGATGGCATTCCTATACCCTCTACATGCCTCAACCTTACATGGCCTATCCTTCATCGGTTGAGGATGATCCTTTTTCTCCACTTTAGATCCTATGAGGTTGACAGTGCTCTCTATTCGATGGCATTCCTTTATCCTTTATATGCCAGACACATCCGCAGGCTTTGGTCCAAAAGTAAGTGTCCTCAACCTGTCATGGCCTATCCTTCATTGGTTGAGGATGATCCTTTTTCTCCAGTTTAGATCCTACGAAATTGACAGGGCTCTCTATATGATAGTATTCCTATACCCTCTACATGACGGACACATCCACGGGCTTTGGTCCAAAAGTAAGTGTCCTCAACCTCTCATGGCCTATCCTTAATTGTTTGAGGATGATCCTTTTTCTCCAATTTAGATCCTCCGAGGTTGACAGTGCTCTCTGTACGTGTGAGCTCTTCCGATCCAGACCATCGACGCTGCCACTTTCTAATAATCATATTTTTAATCATTGGAACGTCCTGGCCTTAGCCAACTCATCTGCCTTTTTGTTACTTTCCAGATTTATTTGTACATCTGATGAATATTTGCCAAGTATTAGTTACCGTGTTCAATCAAATTTTAACATCATGTTGTTAAATAAAACCGAATTGTTTTTATTTAAACCGACCTTTTAAACAATTTTATTAACAAACTAAAATCACATTAGACCAGACCAAAAATTTGATAAAAACAGCACAGAGGCTAATAAATAACAAGTAAATGAAAGATGCACAGATTTTACAGTTATTTTACTGTTTCAGTCAGTCAGGTAGTACGGTGTATGCTTTTAGTTCCAAACTAGTCTAGAAATGCCTACCTTAGTACACAGCTTTGCTCAAGCACAATGGACATAGGAAAACCTAAGGTTGGTTCTGGGACATGAAAGTATAGAAAGAAACACCGACTAGCATAAGAAGGTGCAGTCCTCTCAACCATGGGACCAGAACCACAACTAAGCACAGGGAGTGTGCTAAAGTTAAAAAGCTGGAAAAATCTTGAGAAAGAAAAACCCAAGCACTGGATGAAAGCATTGCTTACCTTGAATTTCTCAAAAAGGAAATCGAAGATATTCTCTCCCAATAGACAAGATTTGAGAATACCAATGCTCTCTTAACTACCACCTAAAGAAGATGAGCAAAGCAAAAATAGAAACATACCAATTCTGTCAAGAGAAACCAGAGACATTAGCACATATCCTTGTATGTGAGGCGCTAGCCTGTATACGTGTGGCCTCTTCAGTAAAATACTTAGGAAAGTGCTTAGTTTTTTGGAAAAAGCACTTTCCATGGCAATACGATTATATGAGTTTTACAATAGACCGATGTAAGTTGCAGTTTTGACTTCTTGACTCCCCTCCCCTCCAAAAAAATAATATTTATTTTAGAAATGGTAAACCCCTAGTAAAAACCCCTAACCATTTATTTTTTTATAGGGTTATGTGTGATTATGAAGCACACCTCACATAGAATCATGATGAAACTAGCAATAATATAAATTTAATACTTTTATAACAGACAGAAACTTCACCCTGACTCACTCTCCCTTGGAAAAATAGTCATAGACAAAACAGTAAAATAAAATATTGAAATTTTATTATTTTTTCTTTTTTGTTTTGATGAATTAAAGCATTCAAAAATCAAACATCTTTTCTTAAGAAAACTGGCTGAGATGGGGCCACGTCCCACCGGTCTGTCGAAGTCAGTACTGGCTTCGCCGTCACGGAGTGAGGCCTCCGGCTCGGGAGTTACGACGCCCAGTACACCCACCGGAGCATTATCGACGCCCAACTTGAACCGTCAGAGGCTGCAGTTCAACGAAGTCGTCGACAAGAGTAAGAGTCTGTTGGTGAAGGAGGGCCACCAGAAAAGGCTCAAGATGCTGAGAAAAGAGCTGGATTACCTGAACGAGACAGCTTGGCAGTACCAGCCAATCGAGACTTACATCGGCCACTGATTCTCATTTCATATTTTTTCTACCTATTATTGTAATTTTTCTTGAAGTCAAAAATTAAACTTTTTTTTTTCAAAATGTATATCTTTAAATTTCGTTTAAATTTTCAAAAAATTATTACCTAGCATATTTATGTAATGGTTGCCTTTGGCCCTTTGTTATGGCAAGACCATGAATTTATTATATTTGTCTTTTTTAAGTAAATGGTTCTCAAAATAAATTGGCTTTTATTTGTACTTGTCCTGAAGGGTCACAAACACTAATCATCATGGTGTAATCTTGCTGCTTTGGTATGTTGGACGCATCTTAGCATTTTGTCATCATTGGTGGGTTTGAGTCTGCCACATCCTGCTTATATCCCTGACACATCATGTATATTCAGACCTGAATGATCAAAAATGACCAAACTACAATATCACTTTTTAATGCCAAAAAGTTTACACACGTACAATCTTTCCTCTATTCTTTTCTCCCATTGAGCAGCTGGACATTCCAGGCATTTTTTAATTGCATTTAAAACCCTTTGGCATTTAAATGAGTCATTGTTTGGTCGGGAGCATATAGGAAAACATTCGTATGCTTTTATGCCAAATAAGTTCATAATTATGCTTGAATTTAAGCTTAAAAAACTGCAATTCCAATTTTGATTGTCTGCCATTAGGTAAATCATTTACTGAGTTTGATTTTAAGAACTTATTCACACACCTTTATAAAAATAATTTAAATACCGATGGTTAAAATGTATTTTTAAATATTGAATTTAAGGGGGGGGCCTCAAGGCGTTGATTCAGCGCTCATCACTGTAAATTAAAGGCCCCAGGTTTGAATCCAGCAGGAAAGAACTTATTTGGTTAACATTATGCTACCACTATTCATCCCAAGTTAAAATTTATCAAGAATAAAAGAATATTGCAGAATTACAATTTACAATTTAAAAATATTAGTATAGAAGCCCACAGAACAGGCAAAGTAAGCCCTCAAACCAGAACCATTCAAAGGAGTGGTATAAAGTATATAATCTGGTATACAAGGCCTAATATGCATTGGGATTCTTTGAGTTGACTCTTTAAATCTCCGGAGAGTTTCGGCTCTAGCCTGAGTCCAGGATGCCCCGACTCATTGTTGCAATGAATCTGGTGTGTTGGGGGCTAGCATTTTCGGATTCTTTTGAATCCCATCAGATGTGGGATTCTTTGACCCAACATTGCACAACATTTGCCAGTGCAGACGTGAATCAGAACAAGTGCTCTTGCTTCATTTGTTTAGTTGACATTCTAGTGAGTGTTTTCTTGAAGATTTGGATACTGTCTTGTGTAAAGGTATGTTGTGGAGTACCGAGTTACAGTTTATTGAAGACATGCATTCCCATCAGTGTTTGTGGGAAGTATCATTCACAGAATACAGAAATTGGGAATTGAAAACAAATGCACACCTTAAAAGGACAGTTTTTTAATGCACTTCCGGTTGGATGCACAAAGAGCAAGGGAAATTCCTGAGAGCTAGTTCCTCCGTCATTTTCGCAGGCACTGATGAATGTGAACTGAATCCTGGTCTGGACACAATTCTTTGTCACGGAGCAGAGTCGGGGCTGCATCACAACAATGAAACTATGCAGCCCCGACTCTGCCCCGCAACATGAATCGATTCAAAGAATCTCAGTGTGTAGTAGGCTTAAGGCTCACGAGGCGAGGTCTCCCACCTGATCACACACAGCCTTGTCAACAAGGACCCAGGGTCCACACCCTCCAGTGTTCATAACCTGCGGCCACTTCTTGTCGAAACTGGAGATAAGATGGGGAATGGACCAGAGATAGTGGAGAGTCAGAATCTGAGTCAGGTACAGACAAGTCAGCTAGGTTTGTAGGTGGTCTTTCCAAGGAGTTCAGTAGAAAGATTCTGGCAATCAGCCGTCTTCAAGGCCAACAACCTTGGACGACAATGTCCTCTCCCACACGAAGACTACGCTGAGAAATAAAACTGCCAATAAAATTTAAAAAAATAAGCCAGAAGTGCCGCTCCTTAGGTCATTTATTTCATTAAGCCTTCTTTCTCGTATAAGACTGATCTGCCTCTTTAAGGAGATATACCAGGATAGGAGGGACGGATAGATCCAGCATTTTTTATTTATATTATAATTTTAAAAAAGCATCAGAGGACCTTGTGTGTTTGACCAATCATTTGGATGTATGAGTAAATATGTTTAAAAAAATAAAATAACAAAAATACAGAAGAAGTAGATGTTATATATAAAAGTCCAGATGCATAATTTTTAAATATATTCAAACAACTGTGCTATTCATGCTATAATTAGAGCTGTATTAAGCCAAAATAAGATAAATAAAACATCACGGTAAAAATCAGTAGTAACCTACTAAAATGTATTTAATTTTGTAACGATTACAACTTTGAAAGATTGGTCGAACGAGGTAGCGAGAGCGAGTCCAATTTTGTCAGGGCTCCAGTGAAACGAGGAGATCGGCTGAGTTGTCAAGAAACAATTTTGCAAAAGCTCCAGGCTGCCCACAACCCCGACTTTGTCCCCGTTTGTATCTTCGTAAAATCTTTTATCAGGATAATTGCTAAAAATAATTATATTTTAGAAAGAAAAAAAAGGTTTAAAAAATGTATTATCGGTATCGCTTACTATTTCCAAAGGTAGAGGCTTCCATTGCCGCCGCATGTCATAAACAATTCTCGGTTTTGTGGTAGATGGCTCACCTCCCAGATAGTCGATGAGTGTGCCTAAATATTAAATTTAGTAATAACTTATTATTATCAATTTTATTTCCTTTACCTTTTCTCTCAAGCAGGCAAATCCTTTTTTGTGGTGTTGGGTTCTGAGATCATAGACAAAAAATTTGGACTCGAGGGTGGTTGCTACCAGCTTGTTCATTTCAATTTCTTTTCTGTCAAACTGAAGTCCACAAACCTAGAAATGATAAATTAGTCAAATAGAAATGTATTAAGAGGAACATCCTCATACCCCATTTTTAACGTTGGTTTCCCAGCGGACAGACATCTTTTTCAAGTCGAACATCTTTATGTCTCCATTATCGTATCCGGCGCAAATTATTCTCTCTTGGTTGTTATAGGAATTGCCTAAAATCATACTGTTTAAGATTGAGAATACCATTGTGTTTAGACCGTACCGAAGGTGACACTCCAACAGTCTCTTTTTTGCTCGTAGTCAGTAGGTTCCATCACAGCCACTGGAACATCTTTTTGTCTTGGATCCCAGAGCTTCACAAGACCTGAATAAATATATATACTCAAGTAAATTGGAAAATTTAAAAGTTTTTTAGTAATCGAATTAATTTAGCAAAACCGAGCCTGCTACAAAATTCAACTATATGTTAAATGAACAATTTTTACCATCTCTACTTCCAGTTACTATTTCCGGTGAACCGCATCCTACTGTCTGGCCTCCGATACCATCCATACAGTTAATAATTGCCTCATGAGCATTAGCATGGTAAACAGGAGAATTTAAGTTCTCCAGATCCCTTTTGACAAATTCAAATTGTCAAATATTCAGGTTCATTAAATCGTTAAATATAAATTTATGAAATGAAGTATACCATATGTCAAGATTGCCGTTAAAATCTCCTGTAGCAAGGTGACGATCTCGCAAACTCGTAGCTCCAAAAGTGCAACATTTAAAGGAGTGCTCTTTCTCGGTCTATTGCAAAATTGTGAGATCAAGTCTTGAAATTATTCATAAGTTCAAAGCACTTACCTGCTTCACGATAGAGCTATCGCCAGAGGTCATTTCATATATCTGTATAATGCCATTTCCTTTCGGTTTTGATCCGACAATGACAAATTTGGCTGAACAGGGAACCCATTTACCATCAAAAACGGAGAAGTTGAGAGACCTCTCGTTGTGGCAAATGATCTGTGGTTTCCCAAGCACTTTTGAGGCTTCATCAAGCTGAGCCATGTTTAACACTCAATTACCATGCCAACTGTTAAACGATGATCTTTTTTAGCATTAACACTGTATTATCATTCTAATGAATATCAATAATATTTATATTATATCATTTTTTGTTTGTATTTTAGTTTAATAAAAACACATGTCAAAAATATTTTATTTTTAACTATGTTTAAGAACTCCAAGGGAAAAACCTAGTTTTAAGAGAAAAAATTTCATTCTAATATAAATATTTTATTTTGAGATTTCTCAATGTGGTCTGCAGGGTGAAAAACCTGTAGCTATTTCATACTGATCATTTTGGTTTGTCTATCCTCTGCCTGACCAAATCAGCGAGAATAGGCTGACCAAAATAAACGGTAATGACCAAATTGCAATAGCAATGGTCACAAGCAACTGAACATCATGTTTACCAGGAAATAATGTTGTAAGTGTTTTAGATGTTCTTTAAGCTGAAACTGAACATCACGCCTCTCCCTGCTTATAACCCTAACAATGAAGTTTAAAACCAGTGCATATTCTGATTAATCGAGTGCACAGGGATCGACATCAGAGTTGTCTGATTTTGTTTTCCGAGGAGAATAGCAAGATTAATATTTTGTTTAATTAATGTTTTTTTTCCTTTAAGTCTTTTATATCTATTTAATTTTATGTCAGTGCCATTGGACTTTTTATCTAAAATTTTGTAAAATTAAATATATTAAAAAAATATTTTGTTTATTTCAAGAAAGGCAGAAAAAGCATTTCTTTTTTTTTCCCTCCTTTTTGCCATTTTTCAAACTCATAAGTTGTGGTTGAGATAGGAAGTTGATGTCCGAGTGGATCGAGGTGACGATAGCTCAAGTGGTAGAGCAGTGGCGTATCTAGCCGAAGATCGTGGGTTTGAATCCCGCTCGTGCCATTAACTTTTTTTCATCTCAACTAAAAACCTTAATTAATTGTAATGATTTAATTGGTCATGTGGACCACGAAATTAGTGAATTTTCTGATAAAGGTGCTGTTCACCACTGTTATCATTCGCATAGCTAATTTCATGTAATTTTTGTGTTTATTATTCCAAGATTTCAATTCTTTTATTAATGTAGCTACAGTTTATACCAAAAATGGATGTGGGCCCATTTGTTGTTCTGAGGGTCTTTTTAGTTGAGTATATTTGCTAATAAGACCTCTTTGATCTGGGGTTCACTTTAACATTAGGTTATTTGTAGTTTTTGGGGGGGATTTAGGCAGTTCAAGTTATTCTCATAGACGAGTTTCTGTTGGTCTCACCCTGTATATAACCTTAATCAATGATCAATAGAACTAACTAAAACATTACTTTTAACATTTCTTCTTGATGTCTGCTGGATCATTTTGGTCTTGTGTCTTCAATCATGGGTTTGTCTCGCCCCGCTTATCTCCTTGACTAACGATCACTTTAAACAAAACCAGTTAGAACAGGCAGAATTGACCAAACTACAACTTTTTTTAAAGAGATTTCTTATTGAAAAATTTCCTTCAGTCAGTCCCCATCAAATTTCTTTCTTTCTAGAATTTTTGTATCTTCTCTTGCATGTTGGCTACGAGGTCCTAGTGGCCCTGTAATGCATAGATTTACCTATCTTTACTGTTTGTAACTTTTGTTGAGTTTTTATTCCCCATATTAACAAGCCATAGGAGATTCTCAGGTCCTATTATTGTCGTACATAGACAACATCAATTACTAATAAATTTTTTGACATGTTCAATAAACTTCTACTGTTGGCAAAATTTTAAATACTTACTTAACTGTACTTAGAAATTATCCTCTCTTTGATTTTTTCAAATTGCAACGTACAATTCCAGAAAAACCCAGCTTCTATACATATTTATTTTAGCTATGTTAAACTTTAGGGAGAAGATTTTCAAAACAAACTTATAACTTGGATAACATTATATTTGTTTATATTACAATTTTGGTAAATATTTTGTTTTTTTAATGGTAAACTAAATTTTCTGTTATATTTAGAATTGAATTAAATTTATAGCTGCAATACAATATATCTTCTTTTTTTGTTACATATTATAAAAAGAAATAAATTACCATTTTATATACAGATTTTTTTTTTTAACAAGATAAATATAGTGTGCAATTTCTGTATCAACAAGCATATACATCAACTGCGGCACCATTTGTTAAGCACAGCCTGTGTATTTTATTGATGCAGTGTTCTTACTCTACGTTTATCAAAAGAAAATGATGTGCAGGCAACAAATATTCAACAACCAAAATGTAAAAAAATCAGCCTTATCTCCTGAATGTAAAAACAAAAAAAAATCAACTGTGAACAACAAGAAGCGCATTAACAAATTAAAACCTTGTGGGATTTAAGGAAGATATTCTTATCCTTAAATAGCAACAAAATGGGTGGACGAAACAACTGAAATGCATTTGAGATTCTACACTCGGATTGTCTTTTTTAAAATAGAAGTTATTAACAAATAAATTAGTACTCAAACACTCAATTTGCAATTAGTCCCATAAATATATATATTTTTTATAATAGAAAAATTGATCCCCAGTTCTCTAATGATTGGCAACTGACTTAGCTTTACATTAGAAATTAATCATCTAGAGAAAAATAAAAAGGAACTTATACATATAAATCTATTTTAACAACGCATTGTTATAATAAACCATATCAAAATAAAATAATTAATGTACGAAATTAAATAAAATAAATAAATACTTCCATCAATATAAAATTATAAATCCAAATTCCAAGGATTTTAACCAGGAGAATAAATAAACGTTCACAATGTGATTTGAGACGACATATTTTGGCTTCCGTTTTGTCTAATAAGTTATATGGGATAAAATAATAGTTAAAACAATTAAAAAATTAATTATTTTTTTGTTAGGAAACAATTTTGAGCTTTTAACATTTTAACAAAAAGCAGCATTAAAAATCTCAAAAATAAAAATTGTTATAACATTATTATTATTATTATCGTTATTATTTATGTCTTGATATACTAAACTTGTTGAACAAGAAAAAAAACTGTTAAGGCTTATTTAATTGTTTTAATTTTATAATAAAAGAACATCTGAATTCATTTTTTCCTTGTCCTCTTTTAAGGCTTTTCTCCTCTCCTCGATTAATTTTTTCCTAGCTTCGTCTCTTGCCTTCATCGATGGGGCATCCTTTAATTCATTCTTTTTCGCCATTTTGCGTGTGCTAGTTGCAGCCCGATTGCCCGGTCTTAACATTTCGGGTTTTTTATCCTAAACAAGATCAAATCAATTATTTGCTATTATTCTTAAGCAAAAACCAGTTGTATAAATTAAAACAAATTAATAATTACGAAATAAAATTGATACAAGATAATGAACCAAAACCTTTACCACGGGGATCATAATAAAAGCTAAATTGTCAAAGAACTGTTGAATTATGTTAATCTATGAAAACAAGCATAATTCAACATACTAATTTATGTAGTATTTAGTAATCGTTAATTACTGATTATTTAGAGATAGTGAGATGTGGTCTGGTGTGAAATAGGTTAGAAAAACATTTCCTTTATCGTGCCAACGTTTCAATCTTTACTGAGATCATCTTCAGAGCTTGGGATTTATAAACACTGTTTAAATTATGCAAATAAATCTAAGATATGAATATGAATTTATACAATGATGTACACAATATAGTAACTTTACATTGGCACAATAAAGAAAAGTTTTTTTTTCATCACAGATCAAATTTCAAGATCTCTAAATAATAATAATATATTCTTCTTGTGAAACATTTAAGTCAATTAAAGTTCCTAATAACATTCTTAAGCAAATACAGTTTTGAACAATTAAAACAAATCAATAATTGTCGCATAAAAACAGTAAAGGCCAAAGTAATGAATCTGAACTTTAATCAGAGATCATAATAAATCATTAATTCTTTGTGAACTGTTAAATTATGTTAATCTATGAAAAGACATTCAACACACAAAAATATTCTTCTCATGTAACAATTAAGTGGGGAGGGTCGAACAATTGTAGCAATAAATTTTATTAAAGTAAATGTTTGTGTGCATCATTTGGTTTAAAAGATTCAGAATTTTGAGCATCAAAAGCGTTTAATAAATTGAAAATTTTGACAAAAAATTTCAATGTTATTTCAATTTTTTTTAATAATCTAGTTTTTTCTGCATCATTTGTATTATCATTGAATAAGACTTGCAATTTTTAGCTATAGCTGTAGATTTAAAAAAAATGAACAAAAATTTCAATTTTATTTGTAAATGACTTGATTTACATCTATTGTCTTGCATCATTTGGTGTAAAAGACTTGCAATTTTTAACACCAGAAGCACTCAATTTTTCTTTTTCTTTTTTTTTAACAAAAGTTTCATTTTTTAGTAAACTAGATTTTTGTACATTGTTTGGTGCAGAGGATTTGCAATTTGGAGCACCGGAAGTGTTCAAAAAAAATTGAGCAAAAATTTCAAGTATCGGGTTGTCCGGAAAATAATGCAGGATTTTAAGTTTTCATTAAAAAAAATCTATATAAAATATTCTGTTTACGTTTACAGGATTACTCATTTNATTATTTTGATTAAAGAACATTGCTTTAAAGTAACTAGTTTCTTTTTTTTTGTTTAATACCAAAATCCTGCATTATTTTCCGGACAACCCAATAATTTAAGTTATTATTTAAGTTATTTATTTTATTTTTTTAATAATTAACTAAAAAAATAAATAAATAACTTAAATTACATTGAAATTTTTGCTCAATTTTTTTTAAATAATAAACTAAGCGAAACTGTATATGACAGAAATGTTAAATAAAGTTTACCTTATAAATGAAAAAAAAAAAAAAAAAAAAAATTAACTAGGTTTTTTATGTATCACTTGGTGTAAAAGACTGGCAATTTTGGGCACCAGAAGTTAAGAATATTTTGACCAAAATAATTTTTTATTAAATTAGATATAACAGGAATCCAAAGGTAAAAACCAGGAGATGAAAATTTGGGGCAGATTTTTAAAATAAAATTTGTAAAACAAAATTTACAAAAAAATATTCCTCAAGTTCATCATACATTACAACAACGAAAAAGAAATAAGAATTTGAGAATTGTTGACCTCCCTGCATTAAGACAAAGTTAATTCCAAGTTCCCAATGTTAGATTAAGATTTTATAAAATTGTAGCTAGGTTTAAAATTGCTCACCACACATTTCCAATTGTTTTTCTTCATCTCAGCAATTTTATCAAATTGGGCCAGAACATCGTTAACTTGTATCATGACCATATCCCAGAAGCCTGCTAGATCTTCATCAGTCGTCGGAAAATGCTCACCCGTTGAACGTTCCTTTCAACAAAAGAAACATTGTACTGCTGAGAGAAATAATTTTAAAAAAAATAATAATAATAATATACATACTATGTTTTTCTTGCAGAGGCCCTTAAATTGATTCAATTTTTGTGAGACTAAGAGTCTTGCCTTGCCGGCTGCAGCACGAAGTACACCACTGGCATCTTCATTATCACATGTTTCAAGCTCTTTTTCGGCCTTTACGGCAAGGCTCTCAAGTAGATTCACTTGGTCAGAAAGGAGCTGGAATTTAAGTTTAAAAATTAACTATTAAGTCTTGTCATGGAAGGAGAGTTCAATTACCTTGAGATAATAATGTCCATCTTTAACTTCAATTAATGGTGATGTTACTGGAAGTGCTGTAGCATCAACGTCATCCCTAGCTTTCGCCTTTCTGTCCATAGATGAATCTTCATCCACAGATCTGATCGACAGAATTTTAAAATTAACAAACAATGTTTACATACAGCGCTAGAAAAAACAAGTTATGCCTTTAGTCTTTAACTAATCCAAAATGTCGACAATTCCCACGTTCATGCCAACTTGAAACGGCGGAGATTCCGAGATTGCCTTGTGTTATCTTGCATTTCTTGAGTCTTGTACAATAAGTTTGATAAGTGTATTGAAAAAAAAAAAAGCTACTTACAAAACTGATTATAAATCTAAAAAACTAAAAATAAACAAGGTGATAACAATTTGAGAAAAGCAGCTGATGGTTGAAAGAAAAAGGTGTAATCTAACTTGTGTTTATAGACCTATGAAGGCACAGTGTCGCAATCACAGTGGGCCATTTAAAGCTTACTCATCCATGAAATAGAGTTTAGGGATGGTTCAAAACTCGAGTACTAATATGAAGTGAAAAAATTACAAAAAACAATTTTTAATTACTTAATTTTTTATTAGTTTATTTTTAATTTTAATTAGAATTATACTGTTTAGGATAGTTTGTCATGTCAAAAAATTCATTCTCAACGTAAGTTTATAATTTTATGTATATATTTTTTTAATAATCTAAATTTTTTTACCTATACTTATCAGGAGTAGATGCACGAGTCTTTCTGTTGGCAACAGCCAACTGGGCCCGAAATTCTGGCCGAAGTAGTTTAAGAACAGGTAGTGATGCTTCATTCTGGTCAGGCAATGTCATTGAATATAGTGATGTTTCCTATTAAAAAAATTAAAAAATATAATTCCTGTCATATAAGAAGCTGCAAAGGACATTGACATTGTGGATGAGGGATTAAACCACTTCTCAATACTTTATTCAAATTATCATCTTCTGCCAAAGAAAAAGTTCGATGAGGACACCTATTACCCCTGAACCCTTTTGTGACCTATCAAACATGGATACATCAATAGGTTAAAAATAAGTCTTTCATTCAATGGGAATGAAGATGCGTGTGTACAATTCTGTCAAGGAAACATGACAGAAACTAACGACATAACAACTAAATCTAGGGCATGTTAGGACTAGAATAATAGTACGATGCAGACTCCAGGGGCAAGTGTACAACTCGGAGCAGTTGAAACAAGCCAAGATATTGCCAGGAAGAAAAAAAGAGGCAGTGGAACATGTTCTCAATTGGTGCAAAATCTTATGTAAGCTAAGCTCATTTATAAATTTTAGATGTGTTTTCATTTCAATTTGAAATGGACGGCATAAGATTCACATTCAACTGATTCACAACAATAATTGTAAAAAAAAAAATGCTCGGACGACCTTCCAGAGGTTCTCTACAAGTTGTGTTGTTTCAACAATACAAAATACAGTTATTGATAATATAGTTAAGTATTACCTTTGAAATAATCTCAACTGGAAATCTTGCTACGAAAATATATTTTTTTAATATTTTTTTTTCAATTTATAATTCATATTTTATAATTCATAATATTTTATTATCCATTTAGCCTGGAGATGGATGGTTGGATTTTAAGTAGGAAATTGCCGACTATTTTTTTTCGAACTAGGAAATAACTTTTGAGGACAACCAAAATATCAGGTCAATAGATACTAGTATAAAAACTAAAAATCGGCTGTTTTTTTCTTTTTAATCTATGCCAGTAAACAACATCAAAGCGTAAATAGCAAAATAATAAGTAAATAGCATTAAATAATAGCATAAATAATAAATTATAATGTGTGATGTTTAGTGACCGTTAGCTAATGATTATTCGGAGATCCTAAGATGCGATCTGATGTGACGTAGGTTTAGAAAAACACTTTCTTTATCGTGCCAACATTTCGACCTTTATTGAGATCATCTTTAGGGCCTGGGAAACATAAACATTGTTTAAATTATACCAATACATGTAAGATGTAAAGAAATGAATTTCTATCATTGTAGAAAATTCATTTTTTCACATCTTACATGCATTTGTATAATTTAAAAATGTTTATAAATCCCAGGCCCTGAAGATGATCTCAATAAAGATCGAAACGTTGGCACGATAAAGAAAATGTTTTTTCTAAACCTACGTCACACCGGACTGCATCTCACAATCTCCAAATAATCATTAATTAACGGTCACTAAATACCACACATTTATTTATACAATGATAAAAAAAAGGCCAATAATTGAATTGAAGGTAGGAAGGGTCATGGTTATGAGGACAATAGACTGCATTATTTAACTGGAAAGGGAAGAGGTGTTCAAGGTAAAGTGGACATACGTGAGTGAGATAATTAGAGTTTAGGAAGTCAGATAAAGATCTACTAAAGAGTACAGCAGTTCCTGAATAATTATTTTCAGATTAGTGTGGGTTGAGAACATGTGAAGAAAACAAAAAATGAAAAGACGCTTTATAGAACATAATCAATTAATAACAAGTAATATTTTGTCACACATTTAACATTTACCTGTTTTAGTCCAGATGACTGCAAAAACTAAAAGATATTTGTAGGCAGTTGTATTGTTCACATCACTTTTATCTACTGTCAAAGCCTTTTGTTCCAAAGATAAAAATTGAAAGTTCAAATAGAAAGTCCTCACTTTTGACATTCTCTTTTGCTTAGGCTCATTTTTACAATGCAAAATATAACTTTTGTAAATACGAACAAATACCTCTAAAACGAATCCTCGAGAAGTGTTTTTGCCCATTATTGAGGAATGTCTTTTCAGGAGAGTTTTAAAATAAATTTGTTTAAATCACGATAAATGTTGTGTTGTACATAATACATAATAATTTAAATCTTTCAACGAGTCTTATAGCAGAGTAACACAAGACACAGTTGAGACTGAGAACACTTTTGGACAATTACAGATAAACTGGCAATCCTAATGTTTAGTTGTTACCAATCAGAGCCAGCCATGTTAAGAGCAGAGAAGCAATAATATTTTGGATGAAGGAGAAGCTTTTGACGAAGAAACAGAATGGATGAAGACAAAGTAATTTCTAGATAAAAATAGGAAAGAAAAAAAAAAGAACACCTCTTCTCTTTCCAGTTAAATAATGCAGCTGTAAATAGCCTGAACAATTTATTCCTCCACAAAAGAGAAATTGTTCCTTCATAATTCCAAAAACAGATAGTCAAAAAAATTCAAATGAACATAGAACAAGAGCCCCATGTTAGGAGGAAAGAAACTTCCGGAGGTTTTTTTTTTTTTTTACTGATTTAGATGCTAAAACGCGCTCACCTGCCTATAACCACAGTCGCTACGTCCAGGACCATCCAGCCTGATTTATTTTGTATTAAGATGCAGAAAGAAGAAAAAATAATTTATTCAAGGACAGGAGTGTAAGTGAGTCGCCTAGTTACTTGGTGGCACGTAACAATAGGCCACACCAGGATGACAGTAGTGCATTGTGCTTTGTGTAAGGAAGTGCCTGAAATCTCTCTCTCTCTCTAAATTAACTAGAAAACTATTTCTTTCCAAAAATACTAAATTAAAATATGATTTATTAGGGTATAAATCAAGTTCAGCCCATGACATCAATCAGTGAAGAATGTTGAAAGGCGAACATTACGATTTTTATGGAGATCCTCTTTTCTTTTCCATAGAGCAGGTCTTTTAAAAACTTCGGAAATAACCTCGGCCATCAAATAACCATCAGAAATCACTACCTACAAGGTAAAAAAAGCAGACCCACTCAGTTACTAGATGATTCGCTATGTAACCACTTGCTAGTGTGGCCGATCTCATGTTCTACATTGTTTGTTTTATAGGGTAACTCCTTGACACTAGTCACTTAGCTTGTCACTATCAGTGTGGCCTTAGTGGAGCCACTGACAAAGCTATAAAGGCTAATTAACAACCTGAAACTGAGTGAGGTATAAAAAACAGGGGAGAACAACAGATCTCTTCAGGTCGAGGTGCAGAAGGCTTTGTAACCCCTATCCCGAAGTAAAATTTACCTAGACAACCAACTGAAGTATTTTCATAATTTTCTAAATATTAGTTTCATCTATTATAAGTATGTTTAAAAACAATAATAATAATAATAATAATCACCTGGGTTGGTGGAGGTTCTCTATTCGCGTTTACTTTTCGTGAGGTATAAAAACCCTGAGCAAGAGCACCTGGGCCATACAGCCTTTCGACCCTTTGCACTATGAATGAAGAAGGGGGTAACTGCTCGTTAATATTTGTCGGAGTTATCAGCCTTGATCCTAAAGGCAAGCAAAAAGGAATTAAACACTGATCGAAAATAACAAGGTGTTTTAGAAAATACCTTTAATATGCTCTCCGTTTGTCGAATATTCAGTCTCGGTGTAAGATGAATACCTCGAAGTTGTTGTATTGTAAGATGAATAGCTTTCTTTCACTAACCTGTAAAACAATCTAGTTTATATGTTAAATTATAAGAAGAATATCGTTGAAAACGTACGAAGTTCTGTAATTGCGGTTTTCTTGGGTGACTGGCATGTTGGCAACACCAAGACCTCCGTTCAGAATATCTGAAAATAGATTTATTTATTGATACTGTGATTACACAAATATATATTTTTAAGTCTTACCTTTCCCCTGAGACTGCATTTGTGAGTTTATTCTTGTAGGTACTGACGATAAATAATTTCCTCGCTGATTGGTAAATGAAGCATTCTGATTACCTAAAAATAAGTATAAAATGTGTAAAAGAAAACATAATTTAACATCTAACATGAAATTCTCAGGGGAAAAAGTGGACCCAGTGTATGGTTTATTGAAAAAGTTAATTAGCCTGAAAGAGAAGGCAGAATAATAACCCCACCATGTAAAACGAATGTACAATGTGAGATTCTTTGAAAGTAATCAACCCTAGTTAAAGATGCAATAGTGCTTATGCATAATTTGGTGCATCAAAAGCCCCCAAAAAATAATTATTTACACAGAGCAATTTACAAAAACTGTTTTAACACTTGAAATGCAATAACTTTACCTTCAACTCTTATTGGACTGACAGTCCGGGACCTCAGGCGGTGCCTCTTTTTGGAGTCATAACTCAACGTTTTATATCCACTAATGCAGCATGCAAGAGCCACATACGACGGTTGTTTGTGCACTTCCTCGATCACGACCTGACCTTCATTCTTTGTTTGGTTCCCATTTGTCAAATCCGAATTTGTATCTATAAAATTTCCAGGTACAAGATAGAAGACAATTTAGAAGATTTATTTTATTGTTGATAGTAACACTGTTTAACCATTTCAACATGGGGATATCACACTCAAGCCAATGCGTTCGAAACTGGGTTAGTGAATGAACTGGTATGTAGAACTAACTTAGCATACTGCACAGGTGAGTGCTTAAGTAGATTTTCAGTTTTTGCATGACCTCCCATACGGAACAGAATGGGTTGGCTCATATTTCCGAACAATGTAAACACTTCATAAATTTATTTAATAATATGATTCAAAATTGACTTTTGAAATTATAATCAAGTTGTATTAATAGAATTTTTTTCCTTTAAATATAAAATAAACTCCCTTTTAAGACCCTCTTTAATGGATTAGAAAAATATTCCTTAGCATTAAATAATGTAAAATGAACTAGCAAATTTTTTTCAATAAATTACTGAACAAATTTTGTTCTACTCCGTACTCAAATCTGTCATTACAAATCTAAAACTATCCAAATCTCCTCGAAAATTATACTACATTAAAATTTAAGAAACAATTTGATTTATTGTGGAGAGAAAATTTAAAGAATAGCCATTATCCTGAATACTCAATAGTGCAAAAACTTTTTTTTTAAATTAACTGGAGGATAAATTTTTAATTTTCAATAATGCTATTATATACAATGTCACGCCATTTTTAAACATTTTTGAAAGACACTTCTATCCCTAATATCTCAACTACATGCTAAATGTTGTACATTAATATTAAACAGCCATCAGGACGATGATATAATCATAGAAAGTTCAAGATATTATCTTGCCTTCTCATTTCCAGAGCAGCGGAAAGGGAAATGAATATGTAATATATGTAATTTTTATTTTAAGAGGATCAATTTTCAAAAAGCTCCTCCTGACATCAATTTTTACTGTGAAAGTTAAGAAAATATTCTGAAAGTTCATGAAAATACGATTATACCCAAATAAAAAAGCAATATATAATTAGTGTTTATTTGAAATAAATCAATGTTTTTAACTATCTCTTAAGCCTAAACCATTTAAGGGACTTCAAAGAATTGTTTTCGTAACCATACATAAAGGAAAACACTGTCGTTATTTATTAAATTCTCCCCAATTTAACTTTATTTTAAAGTGAAGGCTTGAGATATTTACAATGATTGTGTCGGGTAAAATAAGTCTGTAGTGTCTTTTCATAGAAAATTTAATGAAAATTTTAGGCACTTATTCAATTTTGATCAAAATTATATTTTTGTTGCCATTTTGTTCCAGTATCAATATACCACATTTCATGTAATTTTGAAATCCCTTCCTCCCAAAATTTTTCAGATTTTTGGGTTATGAACTCTACAATGTGTTTTCTCCAGTCCTCAAGTGAACTTTTTTCCCATTAATTTTCCAGAGCCCAGAATAAATGAAAATCTGATGGAGCGATGTCAGGCGAGTATGGGTGGGGTAGCAATCCCAGTTAAGCACCAACAATTTAAGACTTAACTTGTTAGTATGAAATCCAACAGGTTTGCTGCGTTTTCTCCAGGAGTTTCCTCCACAGATCATCCCCATTTTATTTTATTTATTTACTTTAAGAGGGAATCGCAGATAGAGATGCAGTCCAATAAATTATTCTCAGTTAACACGTAAGGAACCCGCATATTGCATCGACAAACATATCCAGCTGCTCTCAATGCGATGAAAAGCTTGTATGAGATATTTTAAGTGTTTCTGCGATGTCTCACGTTATTGAGTAGGGTTATTTGTAACAAAAGGACCACCTGAGCACTTTGTATAGTCCAAATCAATATTTCCAATTCTGAACCGAGTAAACCAATTACGGAGAGTACTTTCAATTAAAATGTCATTACCTTACACCACAAATTTTCCTAGCAGTCCGAGCTGCTGATTTCTCCTTGAAATCATTTTTAAAAACTGAAAAGGCAAAAACGTACTATTTTTCTTTCATTTTATTAAATTAGCATAACACCTTGTAAAAATACAAGCTCCCTTTTCAGAGTGTGAAAACAATAATGGCTAAATAAATGTTTCAAAACAGAGCAGGATAAAATCAAATCGCAACCGACTTATTTTACAAAACATGACTACTGAACCGTAACGTGAGAATTTCTGGGGTCGTTCCTGATCATTTTTGGTCCGTCAGATGTGTAACAACACCACTGAAAACCGCGAAGAAGGCAGACCAAAAATTATCGGAAATGACCATGCTACAATTACATTTATTACTTTCAATTAAAAAAAAAAAATGTTAATTAAAAATTTGCTTTTGGCATTCTGAGTGTGATTTTTTTCGGTTTACATTACAATTAAACATTATTACAATACCCATGCCTATTTACATTTCATTTCTGACTAAGGTGGGTAGGAACACAATCATGCAATTGAACAGAAATTTAAATATATAAAAAAAACTATTATTTTCTTTATGCATTATTTAAAAATGGAACAAATTAATCGATACTGGCTACTTATTATCTTGGACTTTGAGCAGTTAGTTCTACAAAACATTTATCAACGATTTTAACAGCTAAAAAAGCGGACAAGTTACTATTACAGTACATAAGACATTAACAAAAATATTTAAAATTCTAAGGAAGTTTTTCTATTTTATTATTTTAAATTTGAAAAAATACCAGTTGTTCAAGAGTACCCAGCAATTTTATTAACTTTCCAACTTTCCTTTTCTCTACCATCATGCTAAATTTCTTGTGTGGATAGAACCTATATATGTTGCATAAACAAAAAATACCATAATATATAGGAGAAGGCTAACTTTTCTGTGTATTAACTCATAATCTAATAACATAAAACACATAAAATTAGGGTTTTTTTCCATTGACGATCAGACTAGAAAAAATTGGACTAGGAATGTGCGATGCCTTACAGAGCAATGACTTAGGAGAAATCCCATCAGGAACAGAAAGCAATGATGAGATCGCATGGATCTGGGTCAAACTATTTCAACAAGGTTAGCAAGCAATGCAAGCTTTTCTTTAGCCTTGATCCTTCCCACAGGCTTGGGCTGTTTGTTGTTTCTGGTTGATGAATGAATAACCAAGCTGTCTCCTTAATTTTGAAAAACGGCTGTTTTGCCAACAGAAACATTTTTTTAACTAAAACTCATAGATCAATTTTTTTTGCATGACCCAAATAACAAATAAAATTTCACAATATAAGCGAACAAGTGTTACATTATTAGATAGATACACAATATTAGATGGATTGTAAGATTATTAAAGAGGTTTAGGGGAGAAATCAAAAACCCTGATAGTTAATTGTTAATAAGGTAATTAAAGAACTGTACACTAAACAAGTATTCCTTCAGTGGCTTAGCACTGTCAAATTAATTAGTAATTAAATAAAAAATAACACATCTTAGCACTGATTATCAATCTGAAAACTTAGTTTGTATGTTTGATGTGTCATATTGTCATAATCACAAAATGAATATATACATAAATCACTGATGAAGTACGTTGTGATTAAAAATCAAAATATTAAATGTAGTATCGATATGTCTTTTATTTTGGACTTACTAGATGTTCACTCGCATTTGCTTATAACTTACTGTAAAATATTAAAAGCCAGAGAGTTGAAACATTTTTTTTTTTTTTTTTTTTCAATTTTGAACCTTAATTTTCTATTTATTTTTAGGGGAGAAAATCTTAATCATCATTAAATTTATGTGGCTCTTAAAAACGGCCAAGGCAATGTGTGTGTGTGTGTGTGTGTGTTTTATAGATTTTATTATTACTCCATTTAGTACTATTCACTCCTCAATTAATTATATATGGGTATCTCCAGGATTTATATACTATTTTATTATCACAATTCCTGATTAGAAATGGATTTTAGGGCATCTCTCCAGTCTCATTTTGTTTTTGAATGAACTGAAAAATAAGTATATTTTGGACAGACATTTAAATAGCCATTTGCATATATTAATAAAAGAATGTAAATGACCTTTGTAGACATTCGAATTGTGCTAAGGTTTTTTCTGGGCAAAACTGTGAACAAGCTCACCAACAGTGCAGGTCTCTAAATTCTTTGAGTCTACTTTTCTGAAATACTTTTCTACAAGGTTTGTTACTTGAATGATACAAGTGATAAAAAATAAAAGTTAAAAAAAAAATTAAACACATTAACATAAGCAATGCTTCAGTAGTGCAACGAAAAATGCTATTTTGTGCTGAACTACTGACAGGAGGGTAGGCATTTCTGTGATGCATATAAAAACATATTTGTATTGTCACAAAAGAGCAATTGAAAATGGTAAAAGTACATATGTGCGAAAAAAAATCCTAACAGGTTAACGAAAATTAAATGAAAAATAAAATCCCCTTGAATAATTAATTATGAATACAACTTATATTCTGAGTTTCAAGCCTGACAACAAATGTCTATTTTCAAAAATGCAAATATAAAATGAAAATACTCTACTATGGGAATTGCAGTAAAAAGGGACAGTTAAAAATCATCGGTGACAATTTGTAAAGATAATAAATAGTATCTTACAGATGGAAAGGGATGGTGCTCGGTGGATAGAGTGATAAAGGGAATTAATTAGGTTTGAGACACAGAGAGGAAGGAACAACTGAACGCAGTACTTCTGTGTTTAAGGGACAGAGAAGAACTTGGATGGGTGGTACAGCCACTTAGTCGGTGTACAGATCAATGGGACCTACTTGTGGAGCCAAATATAAAATGCACAAAACAATTCATAAAATGTTTAGGCTCATATTCAAGCTCGGCAGTGAATGAATCAAAGTTAAAGAGAATATAGTGGGGAAACCATAAGTTAATGCACACGAGTGAAGGCTGGCATGATGGAACTGATGGAGGGAGGAAAAGTTTTCGGGAAATCCGGGATATCTGTGGCTTCTGAAGGTTTTTGACAAGAGGGCAGAAGGAAATGGAGTTAATGGTTAAGAGGGATAAGAGAAAAGAAGTGAATCTGATCTACAATAATACCATACAACAAGTTAACACCATTTCCAGCAATCTAGGAATTAAGTCTAAGTTGTCCTGAATTCTTACATTTATAGCTTGTAAGGAGGTAAGATGGAAAGATGAATTTGTGAGTCATGTTCTTAAAGGTAATGAATGCAATATTTTACGGATTGAGGGAAGTCACATATAACAGAAAAAAAAGGAAGTGAAATTTCTTGGGCTTTGAGGCTATAAAGAGGTGATGGAAAGGTGAGAGGATGATTATTTTGGACCAGACTTCTTAGGAATGGTCTGAAAGGGAGGAGTGGATCGAAGGATGCATTAATGTCCATTGACCTACAACCTATGACCAATGAGCTTTTCAAGAGGTAAAATATAGTGCCATTTAGTAAATGATGTAAGTACAAGCGATGTGTCAAAAATTTATAAAGTAATTATAAATAATTTAATAAAACATGTAGTTTGCAGCACCTCTAGGAGCAAAGGGAAAATCCTGTACATGTTTAAACGTTAAATAATAAGGAATTAAAGGCAATAAAAGGTATATTTAGTTAAAATATTTTTATGCATATAATGTTCAACATATGAAAAATGAAACAGAAGCCCTAAAATCAATTTCTAAATAAAACTGTATTATTTATAAAATCATTACGTTTATATCATAATGTACATAATTAATTCATAAGATTTGATTATTAATACTATCATTAATATTTATTGAGTTTTTATTGAAATGAGTGAAACTAATATATTTCTATTTCCTGATTCATTCTATCTTAACACACAAATTACTATCTATAAGTCTGTATGTATGAATTACTATATATACATGCTACAAAAAAGGAAGTAATTAAATAGGGAAAAAAATTAAATCTGTGTCGTAATCAAAGGTCAATTGAAATGTACATTTGTTCAAAAATATAATTCAATAATCAAGATAAGAAATGGACATCAATCTGGCATTTAAAAAAAAAAAATAAATAAATAAAAAATAAAAAGTTACAGGTGAAAACCAGTCAAGAGTAATAAGAATTACTTGTAATTTTCACATTACAATGTAATAAAAGTTAATTTGATGAACTGACTTAAATTCAAGGGTTCTTTAAATCTACTTTGTTATAATAATGGATCTTTTTGGGTTTATTTGGGAAGTTTATCAACACTACTTATGAAGACTACATTTTGGCACTTGACCATCATTATTTATATTTTTATTTATATATTTTTGCACCGAACAAATGGGTATTTAGGCTTATTTCTTAGCTTGGACAAGATTTCCTCCTATGGTTTGCAGTGTGATAAACCTACAATTTGATCCTAGCTGCTTTGGCTTTTTACTGTGTTCATTAGAGGTGTCTATATACATCCTTGATCAACAACCTTCTGCAGCACAATAAAATTACAGGCCACCTGTTGATGAAGGTGTCAAAAGAACATCTGACAGACTGAAAACAGCGACTGCAAGCAAACAAAAAATGTCGTTTGATCTTTATCGATGATCTTAGTCTGCTTATGCTGAGTTGATCTGTAAAATGAATTTTGGCATTTCGCATCAGTGCTTTGCAGCAAAATTATAAACAACTAATCATTCAAGATGTCGAGGATAGGCAGACTAAGATGATCAGTAAAACTGTGTTTTTATTGTGTAAAATCACTAAACGCAAATCACTCACGAATGTCTTGGGTTAACCATTTCTACAAGGGAAACATTTCACAGTATAGAGGTGAAACAAGGTGAGCCATCAGTTTTCCCGAGACATTAGGTTTATATCTACACCTACTGTAGCATCAGCGTTTGCTATCATTGCGATTCTTCAAGTTAAGAATAAAATATTTTTAAAAAAAATGAAGAAAACGCTACATTTTCTTCCATTTTGTTCTTACGATGACTTTTACCTTTACCATCCCTCAAAAATCTGATATAGTTGGATAAGTCAAATCCAGTCCTTCTGGTTCATTCTGAAGCTTGAAACACATCTGTGCTTACAGAGAGAAATGGACAACACAAAGCACTTTGATGCACACTGAACATCGGCTCACCCCGAAACATCCTCGCGAAAAAAGTTTCTGAGACCCGGTTAAGTATCTGTAAAGCAAGACAAGTTTTGCGAACAAGTGATTTTCGCACAATGGAAAACCAGCTTATGGATCAAATTACATTTTTGACCTGCCTATCGCCGCTATTTACAGTATGTCAGTTGTCCTTTTGACATTTTCATCAACAGGTGGTTTATAATTTTACTTTTCTGTAGAAGGTTGTTGATCAACGATATAAGCATGGTGAGACATGAGACAAACACATCAGTGAAGACAGTAAAAAGCCTAAACAGCTAGGATAGTCTGACAAAAATAAACAGTAATGATCAAGCTACTTCAAGAGGAAATCTCACAATATTTAGTCAGACAAAAACTGATTTTTAACGCGTAAAAATGATAACAATAAGTGCTGAAACATAGTTCCCATAAATTTTGGTCATTGTGTTGCTATATTCTAAATTTATATAATAAAACTGTCCAAATATAGAAACTGAGAAGCAAAAAGGGAAAATTTCAAAATACTTTATAAAATTTTTGAAATTAATTTTATGTTAAAAAGCAGTCATGATGAACCGGCATTTGGCCACTTAATGGGCCTTCATTCGCAGGTTGAACTACTCAAAGGAACTGTACCTCACTGAAGATGGCGCAATACTGAAACCCGTTTGAGTAGTTCAACAATTTAAGACCCAATGCCGGTTCAGCATGAGCCTCACAGACCAACACCCAGGATCAACTCTACAAAAAACAAAGTATTTGTCAAAACATTTTATCATTTTAAGTCGTAAATATGACCTTATTCATAAGAAGAAATTATTTGAGATATAATGAAATTTAGTTTAAGTGATTTAGTGTCTTTCGTCTTGTTTTTTAAAGTAGATCAATAAATATTTAATGCAATTGATCGAGTGCTTGAGCCTTCTGCCTGGCATTGTGACATTACATCAAATAAAAACAAAACACAAGAATGGTGTAGTGTTAGCTGACTATTTGTGATAAAACAAACAAACACTTTTTAAAAAAAAACTGTGGGGTAGGGTAAGGGTTTAAAAAAAAAGGTGGTTTGTCGTAGCACATGCCAACTCCTAATACCAATTCTACATGCACCACCCGTGTAACTGTTAATTATATAGAAAGGAAAGACCGTCAAGTCCCAGACTTTTGTCATTCCGTTCTATGATAACCAGACAATTCACAGGTGACAATTGTCACCTTTTGTCGCGGATCTTTCCATTGGTGATTCCATCAGGTTATCAGGAGCGACCATTCTGTCGTTTTACGTCCTAAATAAATTATTTTCCTTTTAAAAATATATTTCTTTTGTTTCGAAACATCACAAGACAAGTTTGACAATGCGTTTTTTTTTTTTAATATTTCTCTATGTAGTTTATTACAATGTAAAAACGAATAATTTATGTAGGCTTCGACTTTTCTTCAAAACAAAGTGATAAAGCTGATTAAATTATTGATAAGGCGCATATAGCACGCTGACCTGCGCTTTTTTTTAACATAATTTTGAATATATTATTATGAAATTAGAGTAAAAAGAACAGTTAACCTTTATTGCACTTTTAGAAGAACAAAAACAAGACGATATAAAAATTGACTGACCTGCCTTGGATTTGAAAGCGAAGCGAGGACCGCATAGATTCAATTACGAAGGTCTTCAAATGAGAAAATTACTGGAGGACCAACAGAAGTAGGCGACATGCGCTCAACAAAGGACAGTACGGCGACAACCTATGGCCATATTGTTTTGACACCGTTCTGAACTTATGAGTTATGTAGGACTTATGTTCTGTCGGCTCGCCCCCCCCAAAACACCGGTATCGATAAAACGCCTTTTAAAAACTCAAACATTAAACATTAAAAAAATGCAATGTTAAAATTAAGCCGGATAATTTTTGAGCGTTCAGGTTTTAAGTTTTTATCAAGCGTTAGTTGAATTTTGTCGACTGACGTCAAAAACGGAGTCAACATTGACACTTGTTACACAAACGACTACTGCAGAAAATATAGAAGTGTTTTGACAAAACTTCAACACATACAGAAAAATAACAATTATTCAAGACAAAATCACCTCCAACGGCATAAAAAGCAGGACTAAAATAATAAGTAACACTGACATAAGAAATAAACAAAAACGAACTAAAAATATCATTTTTAAAAAACTAACCAGGCAATAAAGTATACATGGCAAATACAATCAGCAAAATAACAAAGGAAACACCACAAAAAACAGATATTAAATGGGCCACACGATAAAGGAAAAAACACAAACCAACAAATTAGTTATTAAAAAAGTACTGAAGACCATAAACGCACTCAGAAAACAACCGAGATAAAACATTGACACAAACTTCATTCACAAGACTTAAAATAAGATAAATTCACAAAAGATACAAGGTCATTTACTGACAATGATGGAAAATCAAACTATGCGGCTAATATCATAGAAAAATCATTATGAACCCTTGACAATACAGACAAAAAAAAACAATTACAGTTTTTATTATTTTTATCATGTCATTCTTAATTATACATATACTAAATTACAGGCGGGATTCGAAGCCGAAGGTTGTGACACAAATTTTTCATTTCGAAAAAATCCTGTATAATTAATTTAGTGTATGTATAATTACACTACGTGCAAAAAAGATGAAAAATGTACGTCCTTGAAAACTTGGGAATATACAAACATTTAACACTAACAGATCATAAGCACACAACAATGTTATAAAAGACTCAACAGAATTACACAAAATACATCAAAGATGGGGAGGGATGATTATATTTATCTATTTTAAAGGTACAAACAGTGTTTTAAACCCCCTTTTAGAAATGATTTTAGTTCTATAAACAGTATAATAATAATAAGCTTTCTTAAATTTATTGGAATTTGTAATGAGAATTAGGCCTTTTCCCAAATTATACCTTTCAATGTTTGCCTGCTAGTATTTGAATGAGAGTTCTGTGTGCAAGATATTTTAGAAATTTTTGGGGCTGCCGGAGGGGAAAAATGAAATAAAAGAAAATACCAATTGCGGGGGTAATAATATAGAATGCCCAAAATCGCAAGTTAAATAAGGAAAGATAGCTCCCGCTAAAAAATATAAAAATAAATAAAATAGAGGATAAAGAAAAAGAAGTGTTATTGTGCTTTTGTTTTTTTATTATTGTTACGTATCATTAGTTTATTTATACTATTTGAATGGAAGAATAAAAGGATAACAATAAGCCTATACTCATTATGAGTCTGTCGCTAGACTGACACCATTATTATTATTATTGTTTACTCATAAATTGCATTTTTCCAATCACATACGTTTTGTAATTTACCCAGGCCCTGATGATGACATGAATAAAGATTAGAATGTCGGAAAAAAAAATGGGTTCAAATCTCACTCTCATACTAACTTTTTCATCACAACTAAGGCCTTACATAAAAAGAATAATTAATTGAATTGTTATTATTGGCAAAACAAGCCTATGGGAAATGTTTAAATGATGGAACAAAAATTCGAAATTCTATTTAAAGAACAGGAATTAAGTTTTTTTTGCGTACATTCGGGTTTCGAAATTAAGTATTTTAAAAGGATAAATTAAAGCTTTGGATGGCAATAGGATAGACAAGTTTATGGGTGAATGTTTGGAGTCAGAGCTTTATAGCTCTCAGAAGGGATTTTGCTAATTTAAGAATGAGAGGGAGAGAGTGAGAGAGAGAGTGAGAGAGAGAGAGAGAGAGAGAGAGAGAGAGAGAGAGAGAGAGAGAGAGAAGAAAGAAAAAGAAGTGTTATTGTTTTTTTATTATTGTTAAATATCATTAGTTTATTTATAGTATTTGAATGGAAGAATAAAAGGATAATGATGAGCCTACACTCCTGCTGAGACTGTTGCTGGTCTGATTTTCCATTATTATTATTGGCCAAACAAGCCTATAAGAAATGTTTAAATAATGGAACAAAAATTCGAAATTCTATTTAAAGAACAGGAATTTTTTTTTGCGTGCATTTGGGTTTCCAAATTAAGCATTTTAAAAGGATAAATTAAAGCTTTGGATGGCAATAGGATGGACTAGTTTATAGTTTATGAGTGAATTAGGAGTCAATAGCTCAGAGCTTTATAGCACTCAGCACTCAGAAGGGAATGTTAGGGCGTTAAATGACCTCAGCCGTTAAGACGCCCTAAAAAGTTAATATTAATAAAACAAGAATAAATTTTTAAGTTACGTCCAAAAGGTTGAACCTTAAATAAAATCCTAATGTTATTGTTAGAACGAATGACAGTTATACCAGCTTTTACTAATAGTTTCAAATTACTATATAAATATATCCGTCCAAAATTTAACTTTTTAAGGTGTTAGCATTTTTTGACTTTTAGGTTTTTTTCCCCCCTTCCAGTAGATAAACTTATCTCTTAACTGGCACAGTGATAAGCCTGAAAATTTTCAAAATTGTAACCTATTGGTTGTAACCTGAAATAATTACGTCATGATCGTTTATCAATAAGTTATGCTCTTAGTTTCTTAGTTGAAAAATTTGTTAAGATTTGAGAATGGGGAGGGATTCGGAGGAGATGAGCAGAGTAAACTGGTTCGACAGGACGGCGGCCCTCCTGGAACAGAACATCGTCGGAGTGAAGATCGGCATCTACTCGGTGGCCGCCCTCGGCCTCGGGATCGCGTTGAGGAGCGTCCGTCCTTTCGCCAAGTTCACCCGATCTTCTCAGATCCCGTCCCATTTTTTCGAGAAGCGCATCAAGCTCCACGGACGCGTGATCGGTGTGGAAGCAGTTGCTGAAAAGAACCCGTTGTTGCTGGTCGACCACCACCCAATCCTGGGCGCGCGTCTCAGGTCGGAGGCCGGCCTCCCTGTGAGCCTCGAGGGCGTCGACGTCTCCGGAAACGGTTTCGCCTGGCTCCAGGCCGTCGTCAAAGGCGAGAAGGTCGAGTTCGTCCTGTTGAAACCCCTCTCCGAAAGCGTTAGCTGCATTGTCTATCACAGGAGAGATGATGTCGCCACCCAGCTCGTCACACTGGGTTTCGCCTCTGTAGCACCCTACGACCTATCGCTGGACAAATGCAAGACTTACAGAAAGTTCTACCAGCGGTTGCTCAAAGAGGAAACCAAGGCGGAGAGGAAAAGAGTTGGCATGTGGCAAGACAGCAAGAAGATGTTCAATAATATCTATAATTATTTTTTACAGACAACTAAAAGGGTCAAAATGAATCTTCCGTGACGCTCGAAGTATTTGTTTAAATATTTGAGACTTTACAAAATTGCATTGTGCCTCTAAAAGTAGACTGTAATAAAATATTGTTTTTCTATTTTTTCATTAATGACCTTCGTTATGAGTAAACAGCGTGTCAAATTGGCAGTGACAAACATTCTGTTAAAACCTGTAGCGGTTTCTCTGACAGAAATCAACTGCCTTAGTAAAAGTCACTTTATTACAAAATTGAGTGTTGAAATACTTTTTATTTTAAAAAGAAAACACAAATTACATTTTGAGTGGTGCACAAATTATGATTGCATGTCTAATGCCATCTACAAGTTTGCCATTAAAAAAAAAAAAAAAATCGCTAGGAGAAAATATTTAAACCAATTAATTGGACACCAACCAACTCCCCATCTCAATCTACAACATTTAGGGATGGTTAGAGAGAAAAAAAAATCTACAACCGATCGAATTTTCCCTCTTTTTGCAATATTTTCAAATTTGTGTCAGAGGGGATCGAAGTCACGATAGCTCAAGTACTCAAAGCAGTGGCGTATTGAGCTAAAGGTTGTGGATTCGAAAACCGCACATGATATTCATCTCAATCAAAAACCTTAGGTAAAAAGAATAATTGGGATTGTTAAAATGGTCAATTATGGCCGCTAAACAAATAAGGGTTAAAAGTAAGGAAAACAATAACAACAGAAAATCATTAAAAAAGTAAACAAAAATATCTTTCTTGCTTCGGTCGCTTGTAAAGTTTTCTGAAGTACAAGAGCGTTTGCAGGTTTCATTGTAATATTGTTGAATCTCAAAGCCGAATTTATTGCACGTGTGTCGTCCAGCTTCACATGTAAAAGAGACATATGTCATACTATTCATCGATTTAATTTTGTCTATTTGCAGTTGAATAAATCCTTATACTGTGTAAGCACAGAATTGTAGGGTTTCAAGTTTTTCCCTGGGAATTGGTTTTCAAAAACCTATGGTATAGCTGTGTATATATGTATGGACAATAGGTAATAGTAATAAATCATGAAACTTCGAGATCCAATGCAATACACAGTTGACACGTGTAACTTATTTTGTTGGACACACCGTGTTACGCCCACCATCATGGGACCGTCTCATGAGCAAATACATAGTATATTTTCTTATGTTCCTCGACTCTATCGACTTTAACTTAATGTGTCACATAGTGATACATAAGGGAGTGAAATCCTAATAATAATAATTGGAACTTTTGTTTTTACTTATTTTTTTAATTTTTTTTTAAAAGTAGCAATACCTTAATAATTGTAATAAATCGTGGAACTTTGAGATTAACTTTAAGAAAAGTCTGATGTCTTATGCACACTTAATTTTAGGTACAAGTACAACAGGCATAAAAGGTTGCTCAACATATTTTTCTATTCACTATTTTTCGTGGTCCGCTTGACCAATTAATAACACTCAATTAATTAAGGTGTTTTTTTTTAAAGTTGAGATAAAAAAGTCAGTGTCACGAGCGGGATTCGAACCCACGACCTTCGGCTTGATAAGCCATTACTCTACCACTTGAGCTAATCGTGTAATCGGATTGGATTGAAAAATGGGAAAAAGGAGGGAAAATTCAAAAGGTGGGGTTGAGATGGGAAGTTAGTGCCCGAGGGGATCGAAGTCACGATAGCTCAAGTGGTAGAGTAGCGGCGTATCAAGCTGAAGGTCATGGGTTCGAATCCCGCTCGTGACACTGACTTTTTTATCTCAACTTAAAAAAAAACTTAATTAATTGAATATTTTTCAATTTATTTTTTTTTAATAGAACAAAAACTAACAGTAATAACATTATCATGGACATGGGCTTTCTTATGGGTCTGCTTACAGAAAAAGGTAGTTAATGATCTTTAAGCAATCTTAATTTTAAAATTTAATAATTATACAATTTTTTCACAGCTTTAATTTGTGTTGTAACACATTCAATGCAGGCTGGAATTGTAAATTTCACCCTCCCTGGCAGATTTTTTTATTCATTTTGTCCTGCCTGAAGTCAGTCGACTTACCGATTGGAATACTTGGCTTCCCTGAAGGTCTGCCTCGTTGAACATGTTAAAGGAATCCAAGCTATAACTATTTATTATAAATGAGTTAAAACTACTAATTATTGCAAATCTACAAGAAATCCGTCTACTAATAGAAAAATAAAATTTAATATCTCGCTGCCTGATTATCAGACTTGAATGAAACTTAGTACTGATTTTAAATTTAATAAAAATTTTTATTCGTATTTGGGGAATCCCCAGGATTAAAATTTTCTAGTTTTTTTTATTTATTCACATGGGTGAAAAAATCCAAATCAAATGAAAATAGGTAAAACAAAGTGAAATACATTTACAGTTCATATAGAAGTGTATTTTATAATATAAACTAGTACATATCTAAAATTTAATTTGTCTTTGGAGCATTGTACGGTTGATGCGAACATATCAGGTATATAATTGTACTAAAATCAATCTAATTTTAAACTGGTATTCACTTCTTCAGAAATTTGCAAAATTTGGCAGTTTGAAATAAGAACTATGTTCAACATAAAAGCTAGACAGGTGGTACATAAATAAATTTAAAATAAAAAAATGACAACAATAAATCTATTACTTTTTATGAGTCATTATTTAAAAAAAAGAATACAACTTAACTTTAATAATAAGCGTAAAGTACAAAAATTGAAAAAAAAAAAAAAAAAAAATGTTCCAAAATGGTCTTGAAACAGGTACGGGTAGTATAAGAAAAATAAAAATAATCACTGAATCACGGTATCAAGTTAAGGGTTAAAAAAAAAAAAAAAACATTTGAAAACCCTAATTTATCAACTTTGGTGCCAAAAATTAATTTAATTAATAAGAATAAAAATTTAACAAAGGTGAATTTCATTGCCATAAATTTGTTATAAACTAGGTAATAATTTTGATTTCACGTCAATTCAAAATTGGCGCTAAACTCTAAACATTGATTTTACAGACTTACCAATAAAACGGGAAAACGATTTAAAATTAATCTCTCAAACGAAACCTAACTAAAGTACTAACAATTGCTACAATAATGGTGTTTTATTTTAATTTGCAATTAAAACTAATTTATAATAAGTTTTGAAAAATATATTTAAATATCCTAACAATAAAACCACTTTACCTGTTTTCAACTCAGTTGAAAAACATTCGTAGAGGTAAACTGCCAACTCTCAATTTTCAAGATTCGTCTGTGAAGCAACATGAGCTACCATCTCGGAAGGCGAGGGCTCATTTTCTGTGAAGTAATCGTGCCTAATAGCATCGGCTGCACAAATCCTATCCTGTGGATTGAATTTCAACATTTTCTGCAAAACAATGATGTTTTATTAAAAACTGATTAATAAAAATGAAATCACTTCAACTGATGACAACATGGATACAAATGAGAAAATAATTAAAATTACTTTTAAAATTTTAACCCTTTGCAGACAAGTGACGGCAAATAGCTGCTTGTTTATTTACAGTTTGTAATGCGGTTCTCTAACGTCTTAACAATAAGATAAACATAGGTATTGCAGACTAAACAGTATTATGTTTGTTTCGAAAGAGAATTGGAGAACTTTAGCAATGAGGTATTATCTTCTTGTAAATTCACGATGATGTTTTATTTATTTATTTTTTCATCTGTTTCTAAATAAATAAAATTTACATCAGCCTGGAGAGTAACAAAAGGCCCCCTGACGCTAGTGAGCCATAAAAACAACGAGAGGGCTCTTGCGTGTTAAGATCATGACCTGCAGATGGCCCCCGAACAAGGAATAGTCTTTACCAGATTAAGAATTGGTCATACGTGGTTGACACATGGGCACTTGCTCATGGGCCAACTCCCACACAGAAAGGTCCTGCCCCATATGCAGAGACAGTGCTCGATGTGTCCCACATAATTGAAGCATGTCATGCCTTGGCTCCTTATAGGGTGCGAGTGAGCATGCTGCCAGATTTAAAAGGGCTTCCCAGCACAATAGCGAGTTTCAGGGTCCCCTGTACTTTGGTAAGGGTAATTTGGATTTTTATCGCGTACAGCCATCAAAATGTGTTTTGTGGATCTTGTATAATTGATATGGATTTTGCATAAGTGAGTGTATTAATTAGTGTGAATGTGGAGAGGCTGATAGTGAATAGGATTTCCATCGCCCCTTGAGCTGTGTGTGTGACCTGGGTTGAAGGAGGAATATTTATAAAAGTACCCCATCAACCCCAATTAGATTAATTTGTTACTGTGTGCAGGTCGATGGAGGACTATTGAGTACTAAACAGAATGAGTGTAATGTACTTAGATGTGAATGTATTTATTTGTGTGAATGCATATTGAAGGTATGTTGTTATATTTCACAAATGCACGGGGGGGGGGCTGAATGACCTAGTTGTCAGAAGGCCCTGTAATACAAATAAAATAAATAAAATCAAAGGCAGAAGAAAGGAAATTAAATAATAGTGTGCTATTTGTTCAGCTAGAATGGACTCGCAAACAGGACAACTGTGAAACATGCTCCAAGTCATATATATAAACTAAAAAATATATCCAGTCTTTCCTCTCCATTCTAGAGGTATGAAATGATGAAGAGTCAGTTTAGCCTAGGCATTGAGAACAAAAAGAGAGCGTAAGTTATTACCTCTAATAAATCCTTTCCTTTACTGCAAATATTAGGAATAACAGTTTGCATATCAACTGCAGGTTGGACAATAAAAGAACTTAATGATATAGAAACGTCTTCGGGCCAGGCTTCTTCTCTTGGGGTGCCGATTATACTGTAAAATAATCATTTTGTTACATAGCTGCGTTTAAATTTGATACAATGCATTTCAAACCTGAAAATTTTTGCAAGCTGGTCACCTTCAGAAGTACCATCGAATAATGGACTCCATGGGCTTCCTTTAATCATTTCTGCCATGATGCAACCAACAGACCATATGTCAACGGGTGTAGCATAAGGACAGCCCAAAAGCACTTCAGGGCTCCTGTACCACAGGGTTACCACCTTAAAAAAAGCACAATTATTAACGTATTTGTAGAGTTCATAGCTAAAAGAATACCCACAACTGAAGTCAACCTCATGTCAAAGTCATACGTCTTGGCAAGGCCGAAATCTGCTAGTTTTACCTGATCATTATTTGTAATAAGAAGATTTTGTGGCTTGAGATCTCTATGCAAAATTCGATGGCTGTGCAAGAAATCGATTCCACATAAAATTTGGCGCATGAGATTCTATTAAAAAATTTATTTAAAAAAAAAAGTACTATTAGATTTTAATAGTAACTCAATACCTTCACTTTACAAGAGGGCAGTCCAGGAGGAGGGCATCGCTGCATATAAGTGGACAAGTCTTGTTCAACGTGTTCAAATATAAGATAGAGGACGAGCTGTTTTTCCATCCGCTTGCCGTGACATATGTCCAAAAGTCTTATAATGTTAGGGTGCTCGTACTGATCGAGATGCTTCAAAGTTGCGATTTCTCTCAGCGTTGACAATGGCAAACCTTCATCTAAAAGTGGCACCTTAATCTTTTTCATGGCAACCACCGAATTGGGATCTCCTCTCCTTCTTGCCTTGTATACAGTACCATAAGCACCTTTGATAAAGTAACAATTATACAATTTAAAACGAGAATGTTTTTAACATAGACTTTACATAATTGTACTCACTACTTTAACATCCACATAATATTGTTGCAATTAGTGAAAAATAAAGTAACGTTAACTAAAGGTTTTTAATTGTTTTAATGTACCATAATTTAGTTTTCTCAAATATTTGTATTCTCTCATAAATGTGCAAAGAAAATTAAAATTATAAACTAATTAAGTGAAATTATACCATTTCCAATAACATTAAGTTCCACATAGTGGTCTGGAGCAGTGGTGACGTGCAACATGCCAAAATCAAATCCGCTGAGAAAAGGGCCAGGCATAGTTTTCATCGCAGAGTCGTAGAACCTGGAATGTAAGGAGCAATTCATTAACTGATGAAGTGGAATATAAATATCTTCGGTTGAATGGACAAACATAAAAACAGATTGAGCTCTTGAATATTGACATTCAGACTTTTTTTTTTTTTTTTTTTTTTTTTTTTTTTTTTTTTTTTTGGCGTTATGAACTATGCATATTAGCCATGTGACAAATTCGAATATGTGTGTTCAAATTTGGGGGGTTATTGGGAAAAAAGGGCCAGGGGCAACGGTGGGAATCGAACCCACGACCGCGGCGTGAGAGTCTCTCATGCTAACCACTCGGCTACCGCGGTCCCCCGACATTCAGACTTTCATCCTATAATTAATTTTTGTTTAAATTAAAATTTCCAATTATTGTAGATATGAAGTTTGTGTATTGGCTTGATTAAGGGTAAATTTTTGAGTGTAACTTATTATTTAATTTAAATGTACTATTAAAGCAAGTGGCATAACTTATTAATTGAACTATTTAATTATTTAAATTAATTATACATTTTATCTAAAGCCTTGGTTGAGAAAAAGTTAGTGTCACAATTTATGTAGTTATCTAAGTTGTGATAGCTCAAATGGTTACCTAGAGCAGCAGCATATTGAGCCAAAGTGGGTTCGAATCCTGCTCGTCAGCTAACTTTTTCATCTCAACCAAGACTTTAGATAAAAAGTATAATTAATTTAAATTATTATTTATTATTTATAATTTAATTATAACTGCACACCCTGGGCTAGGTAAAATCTGAATGTGAAATTTAAGCAATATTAAAACAAAACTACTAATATATATAAAAATATATAAAATATGTAAATATGATATATAACAAATATCTACCAAAATATGAAAAGAGATAATTTTTTCCTCGTTTGGAGTCATAGGAATTTTTTCTTTAATACTTAAATTTTCAGCTATTTTGCTGATCTCTGCTAATAGATTTACTGGAAGATTTTCCTTCTTTTCAGAATTTAAGAATTCTTCTCAGAGGTAGTGTATTAAGATCTTCAAACTCAAGTATGGTTTTCCCAGGTACATATAGACTTTTCGTTATCATGGCGGGGGAGTTGCATAGAATATGTTCTGATGTAAACACTAGACATAAACAAATTTGGTCATCTGCTGATAATTCCATTTTTTTAAGATGAGATTTTACTGGATCATGTCCTGTAAATATACCAGAAAGAGGTTTTAATCACTTTCTGTTCAATAGGATTTCCTCTTTCTCCCATAGGGTTGTTTTTGGGAGTAGTCTTTTTTTCTTGCCTCGTGCCTGGCTTACATTCCCAGTATTTGTTGTGTTCTTTGTTACAGAAAACATTGGAGGATTTTTTTAATGTTTACTCCACAAAATGGATTTGGGCCTGTGTTGTTCCGAGGCTTTCATTTTAGCTATTATTTCAGCTGCCTTGCTGCCTGAAATTTCACCATGATCTGAAACACTTTAGCTAGGCTACTTGAAAATCCAAGTATTTTAGGGCTTTTAGGCATTTTCAGACAAATTTTGAGTTGATGCTGTAGGCCTGGAGAGCCTTCAGAGCTGTCTAATTATCTGACAGTCATAGTTCCTTTATTAAGTTCAATTGACTTAATCCTTCTATCATTTATAATAGACAATGGGCACAAAACAAGCCAAAAATAGTAATTTAATTAAACAATCCACATAGGTTAAGAAGAAAATAACAAAATATTATCCAAATTACTTTACTCTACTTTTAAGCACTTATCGTACCTTCTGTAAAACAAGCCAAAAATAGCAATATAATTAAACAATCCACATATATTAAAGAAGAAAAAAATTCCAAAATTTAATATTATTGAAGTATGGATGTTTTTGGATCATGGGTATAGTCAAATAACCGAAACTTTGCTCTACCACCAACCTTCAAACATTTCATGCCTTCTATGTAAACAAATAAATAAATAAAACAGTAATAATTACAACTAATTTATCCTATTGCCATCCAAAGCATTAATTTATCCTTTTAAAATTCTTAATTTGGAAGGCCAAATGTATGCAAAAATCCCATTTTAATTACATATAAAATTTATTCGTTTTTTAATTAGAATTATAATAATAAATTATAATAAGTAATATAATAAATTAGTCCAGATAAGTTAAATAAGAAATTCCTGTCAGAGAAGAAGGGTCATCCACTTTACAATAATTTTTACATATTATCAATTAAAATTCCAGGGGCTGTGTCGGGATTTGAACCCAGAACTACTATCAAGACAAATACTAGTCAGACAAAGAATGTTAAATAAGAAATAAATGCTAAAAATTCATATTATCTAAATTACATGTGTTTTTTTGGTTCAGGGGTGTAGACGTAGTCAGGGTGTATATTATTCTGTGCCCTTTAATTAGTTTTCCTCGTTCTGTGCTTATAGCACACCAGTGAGTCTTAGTTCAAGAAATGTGGGTTAGTAGGCCCAGTTTCAGTAGATGAATCTCTTCTACAGTTTCATGGTATGAATTTCATGGTTCCTCCTGCAAGTGTAGTTCCCATAGTTTGTTAGTAGGTGTGTTGGTGTTTCTGTTGCTTCTGCGCAGAATCTGCACATGTTGAGATGGGTCTTCTTCAAATGTCTATTTAATTTACAGTGTCCTGTTAAGAATCCTGTTAGGATTTGCTGTTTTTTTCTTCCTTCCTTTAATGCATTCTGTTGCCTCTTTCCTTCTAAAGTTAGTTAGGAAGTTGTTGGTGTCCAATTCGCGAGTTCCCTTATTTTCTATTTATTGATCTGTCTAGTGATGTGTCCTGGGACCCAGCATAGGATGACTGTGTTTTACATACCTAATTTGTTTAGCTTAGTTTTACCGCACCACCTTTGAACTAATGTTTGAACTTAGCGCTTTGGTGGCTGCTTGGCTATCTAACATGATAGCTATATTCTTGTTTTTACCCCTTCTTCAGAATGAATTGGGTATATCTCTCGATTGCATGGATTTCCACTTGGATGATACTGGTGTATTTTCCCATGGGTTCCCAGTATTTGGTTCAGGGGTGTGGTCAAATAACAGAAACTTTGCTCTACTGGCAACCTTCTTACCTGTTGGATTTCACGGACAAGGGGTTAAGCCACTTTACAATAACTTGTACATATTAATACCAATTAAAATTCCAAAGCGCCAAGATTAAAACGAAGTTCTAGTTGAATACTATATTAAATAAGAAATAAGAAGGAAATGCTAAAAATTAATATTACCTAAATTATAGACGTTTTCGATCAGGATATGTTCAAAAATCATTAGTTTAGCACTACTGCCAAGCTTTAATAATGTTTTTCGTTTTCACAACTTTAATTGACGAATTGATTTATAATGTTACAGTTTTTATTATTTCATAATGCAAAGCATTGAAGATAATAGATGCCCAAAGCTTTTTAGTGCACAACTTTGGACCAGTGCTGATCAAAACATTGGTAATGTACAGTTGGTCAATCATCACTCAGATGATTATTATATAGACTATTTAATTTAAATATTTTTGTATTATTAAAATTATTCATTTAAACATTGGCTTCGCTGATAATTTAAATGATGTTTTAAGCAGTTTTTAGTCGTAGAGTTAAACAAGCAGATGGTGCTGATATACCTGGGCTTTCCTGACTCGGTCCATGGACAAGGTGGCCAAATGACCCTGATCCTGTCTGCCAAATGACCCTGGTACTTTTTTTTTTAAATATAAAAATGACCTGCACAAAAGTGAAAAACGTACCGTTGTCGGAGAAAGCAAAAGCGACGACCACTTGTTGATCTCAGTCGAACGGTCTCTTTCTTTCTGATTTGTTTTGGCCCAATTTATAGATTGTTTACAAATCCATCTCTCCGACTGTATTCTCGCACTTTTGAGATTTTTTTTATAGTTTTGAAAAATCGGCAAAAGTTGTTAAAACGTTCTCGTCACAACGAAGAACGGCCGTGCTATAAATAAGAGTGGCGAGTTTTGTCCCCACCAAACTTCACTCTTCGCGGACAAAATGCATGAATGGAGCCCAGAATGTCCAACTTTGTCGTAACTAAGTAAATTTCCCAGCAGGTTTCTTCCTAATCTCACAAAATGCCAAGGTAAAAAAATAAAAAACGAGCTTTTTAATAATTTACAAGCATCATTTTTAATTGTAACAGGTCATTAATATATCTGGAAAGATACTAAACATCAATAAAGCTTGACGTAAAGAAAAAACTTAGTAATATAAATATAGCAAATATTTCACTCCCATTTTCAAATTTTTTTGGAATATATTAAAGCAGCAATTTATTAGCAATTAACTACCACTGAGCAAGTTGACAAACACATAGGAACAAGGTGTGTGGAAAAACTGATTTTTTGTACTAATAACAATTTCAATCTTATAATTATGTTCTTTTCAATTAATTAAGGTTTTGGTTGAGATAAAATTTATATAAAATTTATTTGGTCAAGTGGACCACGAAACCTAATAAAAAATCTTATAATTATGTATTTATAAAATGTTTAAAGTTTAGATTTTAGTCAAAAGTATTTAGAATTTAGCGTTATTTCTAATTATTCTGGAATTGTTTTATTGTTTTCACAGATGAGTGCAAAGGACATTTATATCAATGCTGTGGCTATAATAACAAATTAAAAAAAGTAAAGTTTTACTAAAGAAAAAAGTAATGAATTTGGCTTTTTCATTTATTTTTTCTTACAGACATGCTAGAACATTTTCACTTTACTTGTAAATAAAGGCAGAAATTTGATTTGTTATAAATTTTATTGAGATTTGAATGTTTTTGTTTTTTTTAATCGTTCTGCAATGTAAAGTCAGGCTCTTGATTTCCCACAAATATTGCTCAATGAAACATTTTTCAACTGGAATCGGAGTTCTATTCCCACTGCTTGGAAGGGAATCTAATATAAACTATGCTGCATTCAGCACAACTAAAATACATTAAACAAGAAATAAAAGTCACAATATAATATAATCCAAATTACAGTTGTTTATGGATCAGGGGTGTGGTCAAATAACAGAATCTTTGTTCTACCTTGAAGCACTTATCATGTCTTCTGTATTTTAACACGAAGCTATAGCAAAATTTAATAATATCCAAATGACGGATGTTTTTGTATGAGGGGTGTGGTCAAATAACAAAAACTTTGCCTTTGAACCTTAACTTTTAAGGATTTATGAGTTCCACAAAACAAGCCAAAATTGTAATTTGTATAATAAAGCAATCCAAATATGTTAAAAAAGAAGTAAAAGTCAAAATGTAATATAATCTAAATTACAGATGGTTCTGTATCAGAGGTGTGGTAAAATAACAGAAACTTTGCTCTACCTTTAAACACATGCTTGTATTGCTTGTATTCTGTATTTCAACAAGAAGGAAAATTTGATATTATTTGATATTATCCAAATTATGGATGATTTTGGATCAGTGGTGTGGTCAAACAACAGGAACTTTGCTCTACCACAAATATTTAAGCATTTATCATACCTTCTATATAACAAGCCAAAAATAGTAATATAATAAAACAATCCAGATATGTTAAATAAGTAATTCCTGTCATATAGGAGGGTTTAATGTCCACCTCTGATTTCGTGGACAAGGGGTCAAGCCATTTTAAAATACCTTTTACATATTATTGCCAATTAAAATACCATGGCCTGTGCTGTAAAGGTAAAACTTCAGAGTCCTGTTCCCATTGTTTAGAAGAGAATCTGGTATAAGAAATGCCACGTTCATCTGTATGGCTTGGTCAAGGAGCACTGACTAGGTAGGTGTTGTCTTTATTTATTAAAAAAATTTTTTACTGTCACCTCTCTCTATTTCAGCAGGGGGACTGGTCAGTGCATAGAGAGAGCCCTGCAGAACTCACAGCTTTTTAATTAATTATCATATGAAAAATGTATTGTAAAGTGGCTTGACCTCTCTCTGTGAAAACCAATGGGTTGTTGGACTTTAAGCCCTCCTGAATGCTCTACTTTACTTTTTACTAGATTTTCTACAGGAAGGTTAGTGACTATAAAATATTCAAGAATATATATTTAATTTTTACAATTTAATGTCTATTTTTTATCCTAGTCAGCAATATCTGAGTAGAATAGGGCTGTCCTTTAATAATGGCCCTCAGAGCAACATGCTTTTCAACACTTCAAAGCTTTGAATGTTAAACTTTCTCTTATCAAATATTCCCAAATCCACTACTGAAGTTGACAAAATGCCAAAATTTCTCTGATAGACCAAAACAATCTCACAATATACATTCTTGCTTAATATTCTGGTGAAAATATTGCATTCAATTCTACATATATTTTTTTTTCTTTTTTTCTTTCCAAAAGGTAGATCGGGGATGAGGCCCTGATCTACCTTTTGGAAAGAAAAAAAAGAAAAAATATATTTAAACTGAGAAGGCTGATCAATCACCAAAGAAACAATTCAATTCTACATTAAAATCTCAACATCCGTATCACAAAACAACCATTGTGTAATCATATCAAAAGTGTAACAATCAGTTTTTTCTTAACTGATATAATTATCGAATTTCATTAAGTAATTATTTCCATCCAGTATGCTTGCTCTGGGTGTTTCCTGTTTGAAATGTCATACAACTATATCATCCTTAAAGGATAAACCAATGAAGTACTCTTTATACTGTCTTGGGAGTCTTGACATATTCCTGTAATCATATTTCATTGGGAGGTTGGGTTTTTGGGATGGTTTCAGTCCAAGAACCACTATGATTGAGTGTCTATGTTGACCAGATGCCCACACTAAGCTAATCAGTGACCATCAAAAAGGTTGTTTCCAGGATGCTGGGAATGTCCAGGTTGTTAAAGAGGGGTCAACTTTGGGGGGGACTCAATAACTCCTTTTTACTGCCATGTTTCTTGGATGAGAACTAACCTTAGTTGTAGTGTAATGAACATTTTTGCCATCACTATTGGCGACAGTTTTACCATAATGGAAAAGGGGGATAAGGTTTCTATGAGTACTCACTAACCAAGTAGTGTGTGCTGTTCATCTGGGATTTGCTCCAGAATAATAAAATCCATGTACGTCGCGATATCTCTTGTATTGAGTTATCTCCAAGTCTGAGATCTCAGTGGGCAAAATGTAGAAGAAGGATGCATGTTGATAGTAGCAGCAGGGAGAAAAAGAAAAGTCACCCTCTTTATATCCCATATTGGTACTTTTCCTGATGGCTGAGGATTGGTTAGGGATGGTTCGGGTGTGGCCTCAACACTGATGGAATGAATTTTCTATTTTTCAGTGCAGAACCCTTTGCTCTGGGCTTTATGATTTCTAGTATTATCCTTTCTTCTCGCAATTGGTCCTTGGAAAGAGTATTATTATGGAGTGAGGTCTCAGCACATCATCACTACTAACTTCCACCTGAAGGAAACCTTTAGCCATTTGATTTTTTTTCATCCTGACAGTAGATTATTAGGAAACCTGATCTGAAGTAGTCTTTCTGTCCTTCAAAATGGAGCTGGACGGTCATTATTGCCATGTATGCAGCTACTAGGTGGCCTTATGGCTTTTCCCATACACCATTTTCCTTGAAACTTTGGGATTTACCACTTATATAGACTCATCTAGCTCTTTTCACCAATCTCTAATAGCTTTGGTAGAAGTATAGTTGACAATATGATATGTATTTTTTCCATATTTTATGATTTTATAGTGGGAGGATAATTTTTGCAAGCTTACTACTTGAAGATTGAGAAGCCTTCATTTGTGGATGGTTTCTCAAATGGCATCGGTTCCATCTGCCATTATGTTTTTCAGATCTTAGGAACTAGTCTCTACATTCTTCTGTTTCTTTCAGTTTGCATTCTGCCTAGAGGTTTTCTCCAGTTTTCTGACATGCCTGCCTCATCCCCTTTTCGTAACCCTAGTCCTACATGTCAAGCTACCCAGACAAGCACCGTTTTGCTGAGCCACTCCAGCTTGTGATCTCTCCAACTTTAGCACAGCGTGAGGGTCGACAGAGGACCTGTTATGGATAGCTGTTACCACGCTGCTGGAGTCGGTCCAGAACAGGTACAGAACAAATTTTTAGTTTTTCTTTAAGTCATTCTGTTATTGAATCTGTTAAGTGTTTTCTGATGGTGTGGGTCAATTTTCTTTTTTCTTCTATGGCTTTTAATATTTCTAGTAGAATTTTTTCAAAATTTGTGGATCAGGGTTTGGTATCATCATGATTCCTGCAATTTTCCAGTTACACATACATATTGAAATCTGATTGTAGCGGTTAACTAACCACTTTTTTAAAATATTTCTTCAGTGATAAGGTCATATCCAGGAGTCTTTTAGACATTGTGAACCCCAGGGGTTTTTAAACTGTATATAAAATATAAACTGTACATAAAAAGATCTTGATTTTATTTCAACAAGACTGTTTTGGGCCGGTTATAGAAAGCAAAATACGACTAATTAACTATCCAAATTTATTTTGAATCGATTGCGTTTTATCCTTTGGCGATATTTAATTCTATCCGATTTCACTAATTGATGCTCATAGCTCGACTAATTATTGCATTTATGCGTACTTGCGGGAGCGAAACGCATAAGGGAGGACAATATACCGTTACGAGAGAAAATCTAATTGCAAATTGGCCATGATCATGAATAAGTAATGAACGGTGTGTGGTTTTCCGGACATTTTTTTGCGTATGTACACACATTTTCAACCCAGGGTCAATGTCAGTACCAAATATCGTACAAAAGGTGGCTTGAACATGTTGTCATTTAAACAAATATTAGAAAAGTTTGCAAACTAAATATGAAATAATAGTTGAATCATAGTAAAGGCTCAGCATAACTTTTATCGGTTTTGTCATCTTCTTCTCTTATATACTGGCTCTTTAATCCTAAGTATTCGATCGACTTAAACGAAGTTTTCCGGATCAATTATTCGGACCGGTCAATGGTAGCGTTCGGAAAAAAATTGGACATACATCAGGCTTGATATTATCGCAGTTCAGTCAAAACAAGAACATTTCGGCGATCGACCGTTATAAGACGTTCCCGCAGGACTCATCTCGCAGGATTCAAAGCTTCGTTTAATCCGCGTTACGTTCAGCTTTCCTGCGATCGAATTCGAAACGTTTCGGAAATTTCATCAGACAAGGTACCAAAAATTAAGGCAAACTTTGGAAATGTTCGCTGGGACAAAATTATTCGAATACACTTCATCAACTACAAATCAACAGCATAAAAGGCTTACATTATTAGTACAACGGATAAGAAAATGATCCAAACAGGGCTTGAAATTCCATCGGTTAAGGGCTTGTGAACTGGTTGACTTAGTCAAAAGGACTGCAGGGATCCTTGTAGCAGAGGAACAATGAAGAAAAAAAATTGCCTCTATTCGGCCGGAGTTCATGGTAGATCAGCAAGAGAAAAGACTTTCATCAGAGAAGAAAAAAAGAAAGAAGCGTCTGGGATTCGCCAAAGAGTATATTTCCCTTGCTGTCTTGGGAGAACGTCGTCAAGTTAATCTCAAATGGCTGAAGAACTGTATTTTCTAAGACTTCTGAATTGAAAAAAAAAACAAAAAACAAAAACCAAATACAGGATCAGCCGTAGTTCCAAAAGTACTGTATGATCCTAAGTATCAAGAATAACAACTTAAAAACAACAACAGAAGTTATGAGTTGATGCACCTACGTACCTCAATCGCATGTTTTAAACATTAAACATTTATGGCGTTTGCTTGATCTAAAAGCAAGAAAACACATCACAGGTCGCCAAGAAACAACTATAAAAAAACATAATCTGTTCTATGCTGAGAACTTTGCAACAAGTAGATGAGTAGGATTTTTACGAAATAAACTACTGGTGAAATAAAAGTGCACATTTATTGAAAGCAACCAGGGTGAAAATTAGTTTTCATCTTAATTATCTATAAACTGGAGGCAAGGAGATTCGTTTATTTTCGTTAATCATTGATGCTTCGGGTTTCGGTTTCTCGCCGTCTTCTGTTTAGTCGGGTTCCTTTTTATATATTCTTTTGAATTATAAAAGTTGTTTAATGTTTTATACTTAATGTCTTGCTGTTGATTTCTGAATACATTAGTGTTCTCTTGAAATGTTGTCTCTTGAGGGTGGTGGTTTTGCGTGAGCTAAGTCGTCGTTGTCTCTTATGTCTTCTTTGTATCTGCTTTTATTTTTCTCTCGGTGCAACGATGTATTTTTTTTCTTCATTCTCTAATTGATTAATCTTGTCAATGTTTTGTCTCAGGAGTTTACCGATTGTGTTTGTGCTGTTTTTATGTTTATTTGTTGTTGAGTGTATTGATTATATCGTTTAGTTTTTGTGTATGTCTATTGTCAATTGTTTTCTTAGTTGTAACTTGATGGAACCGTTTTGTGTGATGTTTTTGGCGTTTTTAGTGTTTGTACTTCTCCCAAAACTTTTGATTTACTGTTACTACCCCACCACTTTTTTGAACAGGCACCTCGCTGTTTGTCTGTGTGAACGGAACAGGTCCAGTCTTGTTGAAGTTTGATGATTGCCTCATTGAACAATAAATCGTCTGTTTTTCGTTATGTAAAAAGAGTATTGTTTTCTGTTCGACTGTAATTTTTTAAAATTCTAGCTGGAGAAAAATCTAAAAAGAAAATCGTGAAAATGGTAAAAGTCCTTCACACACAACTAAAGAAACCAAACGGATAGTTTTTTGAAGCACTTTTCTTTGTGACACAACATTTTTTTGATAAAAGGCAAACTGTCACAAGAGGAGAGAACAGCTGTCAGCTTTTTGACCACTATTAATCCAAAGGTGTACTCAAGTTGCATGCCAGTTACTAGCACCGTGTAATCAGCTATTGCCGTGCCTCAACTGGTATGCAAGCTGGCAATGTCTGGCAATCAAGCATAAGGAACTAGGACAAGTACGATAAGACAGGATGCTGCAGGCTTGAAGAGTACAAACCTTGCGTCTGCGATCTGCTGAACCAGTTTGCTTGTCTTAGATGTTTTTGTACACCAAATCAACCTTCCGTGGTTGGTTTCAGGTCAGAGACATAAGCAGGATGAGGCTCAACACTGTCTAACTAAAGATGGTGAAAAGTCAAAACCCGTCTAACAGATCGAAACAGGGAATACAGGCAGACCAAAATTATCGGAAAGACCAAACTGCACGTGTTATAATATGTTTTGGAGTAATTTCAGGTATGTAAGTTACATACAATTTAATATGTAACACATATTTAAAAATTAAGGTTTATAGAAGCAAGGTGACGCAGCACTGAAGATGTTGAGGAAAGCAAACTGAACCTTCAGCAGTTGGTCCGAGGTCAGGAATATATCCAGGGTGAGGCACAGCTCACAGCCTGTCTCACTGAAGATGGAAATTCAAAACCCGTCTTGCAGACCAAAACAGTGAGGGCCAAAATAATCAGTAACGACGAAACTGCACATGTTTTTTTTAGCAATTTCAAAGAAATGTAAGATTTTGAATGTATCACGTATTTAAAAACCTAAGTTTATATAAGTAGTGTAAGACGGCGACACAGAGGATGGCGAGAAGCAATAGACCAAAACAGCGAGAAAAACCGACAAAAATATAATCGTAAAATAAAGTAAAGCTTCAGTGGTTGGCTTCAGGTCTGCATATATGCAGGGTGAGGCACAAACTAAAGACTGTCTCACAGAAAATAGCGGAAAGTGAAACATGTCTGATAGACCAAAACAGTGACCGGTACTGATCAAACTATGTATACCGCGTTTTGGCACAATTTCAGGAAAATTAGCAAGGTACGATGTGGAATGTAATACGTATTCAAAAATTAAGGTTTATGTAAAAAGGTGGCCCAGCAGATAACGAGAAGCCGAAACGCATCTGACAGGCCAAAACAGTAAGAATATGCAGATTAGAATAATCTGAAACCAAACTGTTTTTAGGTCAGCTTCTCTAAACGTTCTTAAACATAAAAAATTATTTTAACTGTCTGTTTGCCTATAATATTTTTTCTCGATAAATGCTACTATATAAAAATGACAGCTAAGAAATTGTGAGGATGTAAGTGCACTGACGACGATTACTTTGCATGCAAGTCAGCCCGGACATTTCCATTTACAAAGCTTTGGGTGCTTTTGCGGTGGGGGTGAGGGCTGGAGAGGGACTGAAGTTATCCCCCCTCGCGGCAACGACCCGCAGCCAGCAGGTATCTGCCCTCTCGGCTCTTCAGTGTTTACCAAGTACCAAATCCGCGAGGCATAGAGCGTCATTAGTGTAATTCTAAAAACATAAAAAAAAGAAAACATCCTGTACTTGTTTTCTTCAACCGGGTGGATACCCGACTCGGACAAGTCTCGGATACGACCACGAGGACGTTCCAGCTATGTGCATCGGCTGAGGAGACGAGCACCGGGGAAAAATCATCAGTGGACGTGAAAAAATCGTTTGATTACATTGCATGTGACTGAAATGTATTGTGCGTGTCAGTGACCTCGAGATGCAACATTGGGGCTCCTGCCACCGTGCCGTCTTGGCGCTGGTCACGGCCTTATCCGTAGTCTCTTCATTCGACGGTAAGTTACAGGAAATCCAATTATTATTTAATAAGTAGTCCAGTGGTAGAATAACTGCCATAAATCCTCTCCGATGAGACTAGGAAGAAGCTGTGGGCAAACGTTCCATTCTCCGGCCACAAGACGGTTCACAAAAAAAGGCTCAGTGACTTTAATGCTTTAGAACAGAGGTTCGTAAGATTTTTTGCCCTGGACCTTAATGCCGCAGGCAATCAACCCTTTACGGCAACTAAATAAAAATGCACAAGCTTCATACAAAAATCTCTACACTATTTTACGTACAGTTTAACAAAAAGTGAGAATCTTGGCAATTTTAGTTGTAAATTTTTCAATTTTTTAACACGTCCAAATTGAGCAGCACATTTTTGTATTATTCTTTGTATGCTGGTAATGCTTGAGAAAGTTTAGAGGCAATTTGATTTTTAATGTTTTTTACATTGGGCCGTGAACTCCAGTGATCTTTCTTGACCTTTGGTGGTCCAGGCACCGAAATTTCTTCAAAATATGATTTCATAAGATCCAGGTCAGATGGAAAAAAAAATTAAAAAAAAGATTTTCGAAAATTCCTTCTTTGTTCGCAATTGGAAAGTCATCGACTAAAAATACCATTCACTAAATAGTAAGGAAAGTAGATAATCTCGGGTTATCACGAGAAGTAAGTGGACAGTAAGCTTATACTCGTGGTTTAAATTCGGTCAATTCTAAGAGGTTTGTGGACTTAAATAATTATTTTCGATATAAGATTAAGCGAAATTTTATAAAAGGTTGTTGCATAAAACGTAAAAACCAAGAAAAAGAGAGTTGGAGATAGTTATTAACTAGCAGACCGTAGGGAAAAAATGAAACAGGATCCGGCCGCCTTTTCAGAATTTATTCCTATGTACAAACTACAAAGCATTCCTGTTGTACGGCCTTACATTGGTACGAATCAACCGTACGACAATTTCTGCAGTACAAAAGAGGAGAAAAAAACGGCACTTCGTGGGAAATGGAAGGGTACATTGGCTCCCCAGTAGTCGAAGACGGTCATATCTGCTAATGAACTTTCAACAATCAAAATTGTTTCGGAAATATCGAGACTGTTTTGGCTTATCTGACTTTTGAAACCGGTATGGTCTATCCTCGTGGCCTCACGCTAGGCTCTGGGCCGACACGGCCCGTTGACTTTGCCGACTTTCTTTTTACTCTTTTTATATTTTTAATGGAATTTTCAATTGTTTCTTGTCAAACTGGAAGACAATTTTAGAAAGTTTAGTAAAAATTAACACTATAGCGTTCACTTCCTTGAATGAACAAAAGGAAAAACATTATAATCAAGACAAAATAAAAAATGACATTTAATAAACAATGTTGTAAAAACAGTTGTATTTCCTTGTGATAATCTAGCATCTTGGAAGGTGGTGTTTAAAGATCCGTTACCTGAGGGCTGAAGGGGACCGGTCGGGCGAGATTCTCCTCAATCCCAAAACACCTTTTATATAAAACAATGTTTCGTCAAAAATTTATTTAATACAAAATCAGTCAATATTTCACCGCGATATGGGTTTTATCTTAATTACTCGGTCGATTACTGACTATTCCTTGACGATTTTTGATTATTCAAACGCGCCTAATTTTGATTTTTGCTAGGTCAAGATAAGATGCGTCAGGGTTTAAAGTATTTTTAGAAAATTCAAAACATTGCCTGGTTTGTGCTAATTAGTTACTTTCTAACGCGTTTAACTTTACGCTGTGCTGTTCGCCAGATTGGACAAACTCGGTTGAACGCAGGCTTTTAATTAATTAACATTAACCAGCGGATTTGCATTATTTTTTTCACAAGTTCAAAATTGGTTTTCTAGTCAATTTTTTTCTCATGGTGAATTTTCAATCGTATTATTGAGAGAGAGCCATGTAAATAAACAATAACAGAAAAATCGCATTTCGCCTGTTCATTTTACGAGATAAGTTTAAATTCGTTAGCATCATGACACATTAGAGTGTCATAATTAATAATCAATAACAAATGGTGCAAAACCATTAATTTTTTATGAAGTTTAAACGACCGCAATCGGTGAAGGTCGACAAGAACCTCGATAAGTTGAGGACCTGAAGTTTTTTTTTATGGGTGCATAGTTTACAACTATATGAGCCAAATTGCATTAAAATTCATGTTCTCATCAACATTTAATATTTTATGATTGTCACCTAAACGCCCATTTCCCAGTTTTAAATTATATAAAAATACGCTGATTGAAAATTAATATCTGTAGGATTAAAAATTGTAAAACTATATTTTTTATCTCAACTAAAAACCTTAATTAATTGTAATATATTAATTGGTCAAGCGGACCACGAAATTAGTGAATTTTTTATAAGTTTTAATCAACCACGACTGGTAGAGACCTTCAATAGGTCGAGACCCTTAGGCTATCTACATTTTCAGTTGTTCATAGATTTAAAAGGTGTGAGACCGATTTTAATTTGTAAAATATGCATGTCCTTATTTCTGGCTTTAAATAGTGTTTTTAGAGTTCAAAGGTAATTTATTTTTTGGAAAAAACTCTATCAATTTTCGTATTTTCATTCGTCTACCCCTCTCATTTTGACATGCCAGAATCAAAACAGCAGTCATTATTTTTTTCTAGATTTCTAGTCTGGATTGTTTTATTGTAATACTTAACTGTATTATTAATAAGTGTAAAATTATTAATTTTATTATAGGTTTAAACGACACAACCGGTAAGAATACAATAGGTAGAATAGAACGTTGTCCTTAAGCTATCCATACTTTGGCAATCGTAAGAATACATAGGTTAAATATGTGAGACAATTTTTTGTTCTAGTCTTATTTGTTGACTAATTTTCGGGGTTAGTTGTGCCCGAGAATAATTTCCTGTTTGTAAAAACCGTCAGCAATTTTCTGCTTTTCATCCAGCTGCTTGTCATGGCACAAAAACAAAAAAGCCATTATTTTCGTACACGGATTTTTTGTCAAGATTAATTCACATCTAATACTTTAATGCAATTCTTAATAAATGCAAAACTTGTTATGTTATAAATTTTAACGAACACACTGGTGCAGGTCAACCGATAATTTGATACCTTCTTCAGAACGTTGGCCTTGGCTATCTACGCTTCGATAGTTGTTGTCGATCATTAGATTTTAAAAAAACCTATTTTTATATTATCTGTTGACCGAATATTCTGATCTTGCCCAAAAGTAATTTCCTTTTTGGGAAATCTCCATTAATTTTTTGCTTTTCATCCAGCCAACCCCATCAGCTTGTCGTGGCAAAAAACAAAACAGCAGCCATTATGTGCGTACAAAACTTCTAGTCTAGATTATTTTGAATGTAATACTGAACTGTATTATTAATGAGTGCAAAACTTTTATTATTAAGTTTAAACGAGCCCAACTGGTATATGATACCTTCAACAAAACGTTGTCCTTAGGCTATTTACGCTGTGATACGTAGTTGAGTGAGCATATATTAAAAAACTGCTGACTTTTTTTTAACTGTTGGCTTAAATTAGTAATTATAATTTATACAATAACATTGCATTAAAATGATCACTGGTGATTGCCGACTGGCTGATGGACCCTTGGCTATCTACGTTTTTGAAAGTTGTTAAACGTAGATCGGAAAAAACTGAGACTCGATTTTTAGTTTTTGTCGTATTCATTGGCTTAATATTATGTTGTTTTTTGTTAATTGTTTGTGCTCAAAAGTAGTTTCCTTTAAAAAAAAAAAAAAAGTCAGCCATTTTCTCCTTTCATCCACCCAGCATTCTCAGCATGTCTCAGCACAAAAACAAAATAGCAGCCTTCATTTTCGAAAAAACATTTCTAGCCAGATTTTTTCCAATATAATTGTGTTATTAATAAGTGCAAAACTTATTTTGTTGTGAAGTTTAAACGACCACAACTGTGTAGGTCGACCATAGGTCGGTACCTTCGAAGGAACGTTGCCATTTTGCTATTTTTTAATTTTATTATTTATGGTTTTTATTTATATGTAAATATAAATTATATTATTATTAATTATTATATTTATTATTCGGAGATCATGAGAAGTCTGGTGTGATGTAGGTTTTAGACAAACATTTTCTTTATCGTGCCAACGTTTCGATCTTTATTGAGATCATCTTCGGGGCCTGGATTTTATAAATATTGTTTAACTTTTGCAAATACATGTAGGACGTGAAAGAAAAAAATGACTTTATGCTATAAAATTTTAGATTAAGACAAACGAATTTATACAATGCTAGAAAATTTTAGATTAAAAAAATGAATTTATACAATGTCAGAAAATTTTAGCATTGTATAAATTAATTTTTTTTAATCTAAAATTTTCTAGCATTGTATAAATTCTTTGTTTTCTTTCACATCCTACATGTATTTGTAAAATTTAAACAATGTTTATAAATACCAGGCTCTGAAGATGATCTCAATAAAGATCGAAACGTAGGCACGATAAAGAAAATGTTTTTCTAAACCTACGTCACACCAGACCGCATCTTAGGATCTCCGAATAATCATTAGCTAACGGTCCCTGAACATCACACATTATAATTTATTATTTATGCTATTTATTTATTATTTTGCTATTTACGCTTTGATGTTGTTTACTAGCATAGATTAAAAAGAAAAAACCATCCGATTTTTAGTTTTTATACTATTATCTATTGACCTGATATTTTGATTGTCCTCAAAAGTAATTTCCTAGTTGGAAAAAAATAGTCGGCAATTTCCTACTTAAAATCCAACCATCCATCTCCAGGCTAAATGGATAATAAAATATTATGAATTATAAAATATGAATTATAAATTGAAAAAAAAATATTAAAAAAATATATTTTCGTAGCAAGATTTCCAGTTGAGATTATTTCAAAGGTAATACTTAACTATATTATCAATAAATGTATTTTATATTGTTGAAACGACACAACTTGTAGAGAACCTCTGGAAGGTCAATTTCATCATCACGTTGCCCTTAGGCTATCTAAACTATTGCACA